CCGTCTTGAAAATTGTGTGGAAAGTAGTTCCGCAACCAGATCAACGTCTTCTCCTTCGGCCATTTTGGGTTAAAATGCGAGTGATAGCTCTAGCAGGCGTTAATCCAATCTTTTTTTTTTTTTTTTAAATCTTTATTGAACAAGTCAGGATACAATTCTCAGGAAACAGAAAAGGCGCTAATCCAATCACCGAACACGCACGGCCAGTCTCGACGTAAGGCCTTCTAGCTGGCCCTAGTATGCAGACGAGTCAGATCAAGACTCGTGATCTGACTGGCTATTGAAACTTGACTGTGCCCGTTCACTTACAGCGCACAGGGGCCTGCTCTGTTTAATCTGAAGGCCCCGAGCAAGTTTAATTTACCTGGCAACACAAGCTAGCTGAAATATGATTGGTTAAAAACTCTACCATAATAAATAAGTTATTAATCGAGTGGCTTTCAATGTTATTTAAAATAACATTGAAAGCCACTCGACTAAGTGGAAATAATATGCCGTAAAGAATACAGAGAATAATTTTGTTTACATATTTATGAAAATAAAATAACAAATTAATGTTATTCTCAGAAAAGTAAATGTACTTTTCTGAGAATGTTTAGGCCAGCAGAGAATGCCTTGCTGGCCCTGAGGGTCCGCCACTGGGTATAAAACATTAGCACATCTGAAGGCATGGTGCGTTGCCCTGGTGCATGGGGATATTTAGTGCTGACAGCACATAACAAATGAAATGTCTTGATAGTGCATCGTAATTTCATGTGATACATTGCTGAGAAACGTAATGTTTCTGAAAATCGATAGTTTTGTAATGTGTTACTCCCAACACTGGCAATAATAAATGAAATGTGGAAATGGTTTTCAATTTAAAAAGAGACAGTGACTAGAAAACAATTTGTGTCGGACTGATCCCATGTTATTGTGTCTCTGTCTGTACCCTTGGTTTCAAGATATTGACAAAATAAACCTGTTCAAGAAATTAGTGCACCTTTTCCATCCGTCTGGATGTTTTTGTTCAATCAGGAAATTGTGAAGAATGAACGCAGCTTTACAAACTAGTCTGGATGAACTCGGAGCTTTGCTATGCTGTTTTTTACACCACCGTTCAAGCCTATAAATTCCTTTCGAGCAGTCAAACATGGCAAAGTGCTTTTGTTGTTTTGTCACTCAGGGTTTAAAGCCTTTGAAACAATAGCTGCAAGCTTTAAGTTGTGCAGTTCGGCATACATCATATGAAATTTCATTGAATGCTTTTTCGGTAGGAGGCCCGGTGGACAAGTGATTAGCCCGTCGACCTCATAGTGCAGAGGTACTGGGTTCGATTCCAGCCACGGCCATCCTGTGTGGAGTTTGCATGTTCTCCCCAGGCCTGTGTGGGTTTTCTCCGGGTATCCGGTTTCCTCCCACATTCCAAAAACTTGCATGACAGGCTGATTGAACACTCAATATTGTCCCTAAGTGTGAGTGTGAGCGCGGATCGTTCGTCTCTGTGTGCCCTGCGATTGACTGGCAACCGGTTCAGGGTGTCCCCCGCCTACTGCCCGAAGACAGCTGGGATAGGCTGCGGCACACCCCGCGACCCTTGTGAGGATAAACCGGATCAAAAAAACGGATGGATAGATGGCTTGTTCGGTAGCCATATTTTTTTTAAACTGGATTCTCACGCATACGCAAATGAGATCTGCAAGTCCTTTATTGACTATCCGGGGTCTGCCTCTCACTCAAACTCAGCTGGGATAGACTCCAAGTACCCTGATGACCCTGAACAGAGTATGAGGCAAAGATGCTTGAATGGATGGAATGATGGATATTTGATTTCAATTTTTAAAGATGCAGTTCAAAACAACAACACTTAAAGTTTTTAAAAGATACAGTACTACGCTCTGATCTCATTTTGTGTACTCAGTTTTGAAATTTGGAAGTGTAGTAATTTAACTTGGTCCCGCATCTGAAAAAGCTTTGCAGAGTTGCTGTCGGTCGAACTCTGTGGCACAAACCAAGTGCAACTGGAGCTGACAAATGAAAACCTACAGCTGCACTCCTCCAGAGCCCCTCAAATAATTGCCATGGTTCAGTTCTTCCTCAAAGAGCTCATGAAGGTATGAAATGCTCCTACTAGTATTCTTCGCCCCAAAGGACGATATGTTTTATATTTCGAAGGTTTTGAATGGTGTGCTGTCTGGTTCTTCAGAATTCTGGCCACGTGGTTGCCTTGAAGAGCTTTGTAACAGATGACAAGAGCCTGCTTAGCTTCAGCAAAGGTGATGTCATCAAGTTGCTACCAATGGAGGGACTCCAGGCAGGTAAGCATTGCTGACACCCACTAGATCTTGGTCCTCATTAGGTTTCGGTATGACAGCTGGGATAGGCTCCAGCACCCCCCGCGGGTGTGATAAAGGGGGTCTGAAAATGGATAAATTTTATGGCTTATTCACGCCCTCAAAAGGCAGATGAAGGCAGTGTGTGTGCCCTTAAACGCGTCTGCGAAGGATGTTTTGTGTGTGCAATCCAGCATTGAAAAACTCTACTATATTAGTGAAATCCAGAAGTCAATTCATGAGGTAATACTCGGCGCCACTGAGTGTACAATTAACTCTTCCTCTCACATAATTTTCTGCAGGTTGGCGTTTTGGCACAATGGGAGGACGGTCTGGTCTTTTCCAAGAGGATCTAACCCAACCGTCTGCTGCATTGGACTACCATAATCTCCAACTGGATCGAAGAGATAATCGGTGGAAAAGCATGAGAGGTGCAAGAGCTTTCAGTCAAGAAAAAGAAGCTCTGATTCCCATTGGCAAGCAAATTGACAACACTGAGTCCGAGTGGATGACGGGAGATGTCTCATCTCAGAGAACAGCACAGACATCCATCCAAGAGTCACTTCAAGAGTTACCGAGGCCAAACAGTGATTCGGAGTGGCAGAGAAATGTCTCATCTCAGAGAACAGCACAGTCATCCATCCAACGGTCACTTCACGAGTTACCGAGGCCAAACAGTGATTCGGAGTTGCAGAGAAATGTCGCATCCCAGAGATCAATACAGATGTCTGTCCAGGAATCAGTTCAAGACAGAGAGATCCAGATGTCTGCAATGGTTGAGTTTGCCATGAAATTTTTTAGGTACTGTATGAGATACACACTTCGAATCACTACCACTTCTAGGCAAGCAAAATATGTTACTACGAGCAGGGACACCAGAGCTACGACTGGCGTCTACTGGTTTTATAGGAGTACTGTGAGTTTGTGTCAAGACAACAAGTATTATAAAAATAATGATGAGATTTATTTGAGAAAGAAAAAAAAAAGGAGAGACACCATTCACAGATCCGTCAAGGGAGCCCCCGCCTCCCTTGTGTTTTTTTCTCTTTGGGAGGGGTTATGGTCAGCACAATCAGCATTTTGAGCAGCTACACAGAATGCTGTCTAGTGCACGAGCAGGCAACTTTGCTTATCTGCAAAATAACTGGTCAGCATTCAATGGTACGAACAGTTACTTACATTTTAGTACCGTTATATGTCAAATTCCCATTACATGTGTTACTGGGGAAAAAGAGGAAACAACATGAGAAAATGAGGAGAGAAGTACGTTGCTTTGTCGTCAGCATTTTTATAGTATTTGGATTTTTAATTCACTGATGGTGGAAGTCCTCCTTCCTCTACTTGATTTGTTTTGGCCTACAGGACTTGTACAACAGCAATGACGACAAAGAGAAATATTTTTCTTCACTTAAAAGATTGGTTGCACATACCTAATTCAAAAACCTATATATTAAAAGGGGGAATTTGAAAAAAAAAACGCAAGCAAGGTTTATGCGGAGCTTGACTTCACTCATCCCTCATCCCCATTCTGTCAAGTGTCTCACCAAAGCCACACTCCTCACTGAGCAGCACATAGCCATTATTGTGGCATGCATTTAAGTGAAATGCATCGTTGTGATAAATACAGTATTTTCTGCACTATAAGACGCTTGGGAGTATAAGGCACACCTTTGATGAATGACCTATTTTAAAACTGTTTTCATATATCGGGCGCACTGCATTATAAGGCGCATAGAATAGAAGCTACAATAGGGGCTGTGGTTGCTTTATGCATCCACTAGATGGAGCTACCCTAAAAGGAATACAATAAAATACAATACAGCAAAAATAAAGCATTGTCTAGATTCTAGACAATGCTTTATTTTTCTGTTTCATTTACGTTGAGGGCCCTTAATGGCTGTTGCTCATCATGGCGTGCATGCGTGCGCACGTGTATATGCCTGAATGTGCAGTAACGGTAGATCGCGAAGGTTGGTTGACTTGAAAAGTAGGTCTTAGGTCAAAAAAGGACTTTGATCAGGCCAGCCTCCACTCGCAAAGTTGAAGTCAAGCCAGCCGCCACGGCGATTGTTAATACTCTGCATTACGGTGCCGCCAGCGAACAGCAAAATAAAATAAAAGCTGTCCAACTAATGCATGCACAACGGTGGTTCAAATAATGTTATAAAATAATTTCTGGCAGGCAACGATGAGTTCACCCAGGGAGAATGAAAACTGTCTCAGAGTAGCACGAAGAAGCATTCTAAAGTTGCGAGAGAAAAAAAAGGTAATATTAACTCAACAACAATGACTAAAATTTCACTAGATTTAAAAAAAAAATCCTTAAAAAATGAATTTTCGTGATCCCGGAACCAGACCATGTCAAGGGTACACTAAACAATCCCAGGTATCCAACCACAGGACTTTCATTTGGATCTGATGTTGCATTTCAATATAAAAGGCCTCTGAAAGCTTGCCTCTGCATGATACAATTTTGCTCATAAATTCCTCTAACATATATTTATGTAAGTACCTGTATGGATGTATGTAGTTCTTTTTTTGTAGTTATGAATTTTTTTTTTTTTTTTTTTTTTTTTTACATTTTATCATCCGCAATGTGTACTTTTACATGGTTTGTCTCATAAAAAATGTGTATATTATTTTTGTGGTATTAGGTCAAGATACTGTACTATGAGTACGCACACTGTGTACACATTCAATATAAACAGGTATGTTTAAATGTACTTAACATACAATGGGCCCCTGCTATTCATGACTGGCTAAAGTCACATTTTGAAATGCATTGGAAAATAAAAGAAAAAAGTTAACCACCAAAAATCTTTTTAAAAAAAAATAAACCTCCAAGTTTTCTAATGGGGGAAAGGTAAAAAAAAACAACGAAATATTGGAAAAAAAAACATTGAAAACAAATCTGCCAATAGGTGAATTCACAGGTGCCAAACCAGAGTAGATTAGCGTCCAATGTATAGTATATTTATGTAAGTACCTGTATGGATTTATATAGTTCTTTTTTTGTAGTTATGATATTGAGAAGTTAATACCTGTTCATCGTTACCTGTTTATCACAGAATGAAAAATGACGGCTCCAAAGCAAGTGTCAAGACTTTTAATGAGGCAGTTGAATTCACAAAGGTAAGTTGAAGCCATCAATAAATATTTCTTTGAAATCATGCGGCATTTTCCAAAAACACATCTGATTAATTTTCAGGTACCCATTCAAGAGTCCCTAATTCTCTACAATGAACCTGACAGCAATGATTTATCAGTCCAATGCTTTAGCAGTAAGTATGATCATTGCAAAAATGGAATTCCAAATAAAACATGTAGCTTGTTTTCTAACAATCACGGATTCTTCAAAGATGTGATGCAGTTCATGGGTGATACAGCCATGAAAAAGCGAACCACTCAAACAGACTGTCTGAGTCACATCTTGCTGGTTAGTGCTCACATCAGTCGTTTACTCCACACAAAATGGACTTTGAACAATAAAGATGAATCTTGTTTCCATTCGATTTTCAGCTCGGAAAGGAAAGAGAACTGCTGAGAGATGAAATCTACTGTCAGGTTATCAAGCAAACCACCAACAACCATACTAAGTAAGTACATGTGTTTAGTAGCATTTCATACTACTTACATACAACTAGCATCACTGAACACCGTACAGCACATATGTCAAACTCAAGGCCCGGGGGCCAGATCTGGGCCGCCACATCATTTTATGTGGCTCACGAAAGCAAATCAACGATGGCAACTTTCATGATGCTTGCCAAAAATTACTACCAAATTTCGAATTCTCACAATAAATAAGTGATACTGTAAGCATTTTCTTGTTACCAAACCCCTCATTACAGTAACTTAAACCAGCAGTCCCCAACTTTTTTTGCCCCACGGGCCGGTTTAATGTCAGACAATATTTTCAGGGACCGGCTTTGAAGGTGTGACAGATAAATACAACAAAATAATATAATATGACACGCATGAAAACTATGGTATTTTCGAAACAATAATAAACATGAATCATGACAAAAGGAATGTCCTATCTGGCCGCAACACTCTCTGGTCGCGAAGGTAACGTTCAAACCTGCCTTCAAAATAAGATACAAAGTGCATGAAAAATAAGAAGGCTGGTCTTCTGTCTCCTGGACGTCCTATCTGGCTGCAACGCTCTCTGGTCGCTATGGTAATATTTATAGGTGCCTTCAAAATAAAATAAAGCGCAAATACAAAAGTGCATGAAAAATACGACTAACCATCGTCGCCGCATATGTAGAGCGGGCTTGATCCATGGGAATCTCCCGTTGAGTTATTTTAAGTAGGACTCCTGACACTGTCTATTAAATGTAGCCTTCTTTTTCTTGAAAATCGTGGGCTGCTCTTCTGTCTCCCAGCTGGGCCTTTTCCCCTTCCCAAAGACATTTATTTTTTTTTACTCATTTTGCTAGCTCCCGGGTTTCATTTAAGCGGTAACCTATCGAGAAGTGCGCCTCGACCTGCGACAAGAGTGGCATACTGTAGACGGATGTAACGGAGAATCTGGTAAATTTTCGAAATAAAAATTCTTTCAGTTTCCGAAATGAATAAAACGGAAGTAATGTAAGTTATTTATTCTTTCTGTACGGCCCGGCACCAAATGACCCACGGACCGGTACTGGTCCGCGGCCCGGGGTTTGGGGACCCCTGATTTGAACAATAGATGAATAAACATTTATTCTTCACTTCTTTATGAATGAATACTTTATTGTCATTGCACACTTGTTACAACGAAATTCTGCAGGAGCCTCCACCCTCAAGTGCGTCGCGAAATATAAAAATATAAAAAATATATAAATACATTGCACTCCCCTAGACCCACACACAATCACACGCATACGTTTAAAATTGATAGTCAGCGTTATGGAATGGATTTTTTTTTTTTTTTAAATTGTGATAAGAATATGTTCGATATTCGGCACTAGTTAAGGTACAGTCCAAGTTGTCTTACAAAATGATATGAATCAGGGATTAACATGACAGTATGTGGACTATTTCAGACGAATTGAAATTCAGTCAGAGATATCATGAGGTATTTAGTAAAATTGCACACCCCCCAGGCCTACACATTCACGTGCACACGATTTGAGGAATTGAGATTCAGCAGCCTGACTGCCCAGGAATAAAAAGTGTTTCTGTGTCTGTTTGTCCGGCTTCTCATGACTCTATATTTCCTGCCCAAGGGCAGGAGTTGATGACAAAAACTCCACGTCCTCTGCCAGTGGTGGGATGGATCAGTCAGGATTTTCTTTGCCCTTTGTAGCCCCCTTGAGTTCGTGATGTCATCCAGGGATGGCAGGGGGCAGCCGATGATTTTTTGTGCCGCCTTTATGACTCCTTGCAGAGCATCCCTGTCCTTAGCCGTACAGCCGGCATACCACGCTGTGATGCCGTACGTCAATACGTCAATCTGTGGAGCGGTAGAAAGTGTGTAGCAGGTGTGAGCCCGTCTGGCATTTCTTCAGCAATCTTAAGAAGTGCAGCCTCTGGTTTATATGGTTTCAGTCATAACGGCCCTGTAAGGAAAACAGGAATTAAATTGCGGCCCGCGACAAAAATCAGTTCGACACCCTGCCGTATAGTGTCAATTAACCCTTTCATGCACCCTGTAACCTGATAACACGATAAGCTGTCCACTGTATTAACTGCTGTCCCTGAAAGGGTTCAAATAGCTTGATGAGTATTTAACTGTATTTCTTGATCTTTTGCGTAATTTGATGGAAGGCTTCTTCTGCTTGTTTGCCATCCCTCCCGGCTGCAACACACCTGATCCAAATGATCAGTTCATCAGCAAGCTCTATTGGAGCCTGATAGTGATCCTGATCATTTGAATCAGGTGTGTTGCAGCAGGGAGGGATGGAAAACATGCAGGACACCGGCCCTCGAGGACCGGACTTCGACACCTGTGCTGTAACCTGATAACACGATAAGCTGTCCACTGTATTAACTGCTGTCCCTGAAAGGGTTCAAATAGCTTGATGAGTATTTAACTGTATTTCTTGATCTTTTGCGTAATTTGATGGAAGGCTTCTTCACACTTAACTGGGCTTGCTGGCACTGAAAATCCTGACCGACTTTGCGATTGAAGAGTAAGAGCTTCCTGTGATTCCTACTTACTGCAATCTGGATAAGATACAGAGACGAAAGCTTACTCTGTGCTTCGTCTAGGTACTTGCAGCCCACACCCCGATAGCGCAACCATGACCAAGTCACTTTAAAACTGCTGTCTCTCTAAATCAGAGGTGTCAAACTCATTTTTGGCACGGGCCACATTTTAATTACCGTTTGACTTGGAGGGCCATTGTGACTGAAACCATATATAGAAGTCAAGAACATCTGTTGATTCAAGTTTTGTTTAAGTTACTATCATGAGGGGTTTGGTCACAAGAAAATGCTTAGAATATATCTCTTATTTATTAGATGTCAGAGTTCAAATTTTTGGTAGATATTTTAGAAAGGATCATGGAAGTTGACATGTTTGAGCTGCTTTCGCGGGCCACTTAAAATGACGTGGCGGGCCAGATCTGGCCCCTGGTCCTTGAGTTTGACACCTGTGCTCTAAATAATTGTTTGCACATGTTCAAAAAATGTTCAAAAAATTCCAATTCCAATGTGCCAGTATCCCAAAGTCGTCCAGAATGCAGGGCCCCTTCAAAGCTACCCGTAGCGCTTGTTTAAGTTGAAATCTGTGTTCAACTGTGGAAAAAACCCCCCCTCACATTCATGTTTATTTCCACAGATCCAGCTGCATTCTAGGTTGGCGTCTACTCTACCTGATTGCTGGGTTTTTCCCTTGTTCTGGTAACCTAGTGCCCTATGTTACACGCCACCTGCATGACATCGCGACAGACCCTGAACACCATTACCGAGGTACAATAGTATTCATGAAAACGGATTCAGTTACGTCGAATATAAATGATGCTACTTTTGCTTTTTAGGAGAAAGGGACATATTTTCCCACTCCTGCCGTTTTTCCACGCCTGGACTTGAGCACTTTTCAAATACAGTGGTATCTCCTCTTATGAGCGTCTCTTCATACGAAATATTCAAGTTACAAAATGCCTTGACAGGAAAATACTGCCTCTTGTTACGAAAGAAATTTCAAGATACAAAAGGGAAAAATACAATGTGGGCTCCTACTCGCAGCTCCGAATTTCCTGAATGCAACATACTTATGCTCTGCCATTGGCTACTACTGAGCATCATCCTGGCATCCCATTGGCTAAGAGGCCATCAGGCTTTCCGATAGTTTTACTTAATTGTGAATCACCCAGAAAAAGTGTTCACCAGTCGGGCGATCGCTCACGATGCTGATGTTTGCATTGGACATTTTCGAAGGATTGTCAAAAGCCGACAAAAGCAAACGTCCTGGGATCAGTTCTTTACAAAATGCCAGGCAAAAACCACTTCTGACAGAGAACATGAACTAAAAAGGGCACAAAAACGATGAGGACACAGTTAAAAGTTAAATGACCATCATTTTTATTCTTTATTCTATTCTTTGTTTTTTACATTTTGCACAACTCTCATTTATTGTGCAATAATCTAATTATAACATGTATATGTTACATATTTTGATGCATTTTTATGCCTTAGAAAACATTTATTGCCTGAATTTTTGGGGGCTTGGAACGGATTAGGACATTCACATGGAAAACGCGTCTCTCCCTACAAAATTTTGTAGTTATGAAATTTCTTCCAGAATCCATTAATTTCATAAGTAGAAGTACCACTGTACGATTACTCTCCCATCTAGAATTCTGACACCCACCACGTGTCGGTTAAGTCATTGACATTTTTGGCTGCATGGAAATCCTTAAACATGTACTTTTCCTCTGACATGTAAAAGTATTTTAACCCTTTCACGCACCCTGTAACCTGATAACATGATCAGATGTCCACTGTAGTAACTGCTCTACCCTTCAAGGGTTAAACGTTTTTTGAAAAAGACTTTCAAATTGGAAATATCTTAAGGAGCGGATATGTAGTCAGCGAATTAGCACATAAGGACCACTTTGGTTACATAAATTGTGAATTTTGCTCTGCATAAAACGCGGAATTAAACAGTTGGGAGCTCGAAAGATAATGCTTGCATTCCCCACAGCTCTCATGCGTCAAAATCAGGAAATAGTTCAAGTTTGGCAGCTCAATGAATTGTTATCGGACAATGGAACTAAATGGATCTTATCATTCAAAGGGATACCATGCCGGTTTATTCTCAAAATAAACTTTATAGATGGTGTTTTATTTGATTTTGTCACACTGCGCTGAAGGTCGCTTGCCCTTCGCCCTGTGCCAGTCTGATTGTCAGCCCCGCCCTGATTGTTTCCCCGTCTTTACCCCTTAACTTGTGTTTAAATAGTCCTGAACAAAGTGAATGAAAACTTTCTGAAAAGGATCAAGTTGGAAATTGTAACCTTCCCAAACAACGAAACCCAATTTGATATGCACCCATTTACAAGTTATCTGGTAAATTCTACAAATGTTGACTCGTCGCTTTGAGATGGTTTGGCCCCACATTATTTGAAAGTTGGTAAGTTTGCCCTCTTTTCAAGCTCTTAGGTGGAAGCAGAAGTTAGTTGAAGAAGAGTCGGCAAGGAAAAATTTACGGTCTCACAGAGATAATATCATAAAATTTGTGGGCTTGCAGCCGTGCAAAACATGCACCGGCTTGCTGAGGTGTTGGCACAAGTGATCAAAAGGGTTCCGAGGTCATGGGCCCGGCAAACCATGACAGGGCGTTATCAAATGCTTCTTAAGCTATTTCTTTAGATAGAGCATTGACGGAGTGCCTCTGAGACTGAGGTGCTTGGCACGTAGCCAATAATTCAAAGTTCCGCTGAGGTTTTGAAATGGAGTGGATCTTGAAAGCAAGAGGGCACAAAAAAAAGCTTGAGAGAAGAAGCTCTTGAGGCACGAGGACGAGTGCGGTCAAGAAGACGAAGAGGAAGAGAAGGATCATGAGTTCAAAGGATGGAGCGTTTGCATGCGTATGAGAGTGTCAAGGAGCCTCACCATTTCTTATATTACATTTGAGTGCCTGGAGGTGGGTCTTGTTGGCACCTGGTAGCTGACCTGCAACCATGGGCCTGGCTGGACACAGCCTAAAGAGGTAACATGGATCCACCTTCCCATGGGCTCACCACCTGTGTGATCGGCCAAGGGGTCGGTGCAGTGTGAACAGGGCAGCGGCCATAGGTGAGGACCTTGGTGGTCAGTTTCCTGGCTCCAGGGGATGTGGCATGTCACCTTTCTGGCAGGTAAGGGGCCTGAGCTGGTGTGTGAGGTTGAGAGGTTGCAATAAGACATTGTCGGGCTCACCTCTACAAGACGTTGTGGGCTAAATTATTGACCCCCCCCCCCAATCCCCCAGCTTGGCGCCGACACACCTCCCTCCACCTTTGGGTAAGGGGACGAGTCTTGACTGTTTGTGCCTTTGCACCAAACACCGGTTCAGAGTACCCATCTATTTTGGAGTCCTTGGAGAAGGTGTTGGAGAGATCTCACACTGTGGACTCCATCATTCCATCTTTCTTCAGTGCTCATGTGGGCAATTAGGGCAATTACAGTGAGACCTAGAAGGGTGTTATTGGGAGGACCCCCCGCCTCGATCGCAACCCAAGTACTGTTCTGTGATTGGACTTTTGTGCTCATCACAGATTGTCCATGACAAACACCATGTTCAAACATAAGAGTGTCCATCCCTTCACTTGGCACCTGCGCACTCTTGGATGCAGTTTGATGTTCGACATTGTAATCATTGCATAAAAATTGTGATCACATTCTTGGATACCCAGGTGAAGAGATGTGCGGAGCTGTCAACTGACCAGCACCTGGTGGCGTGTTGGCTTCCATGGTGGGGAAGATGCCCGTACGCCCTGGCAGACCTAGATGTATTGTGAGGGTTGTTGGGAACGTCTAGCTGAGTCCCATGTCAGAAGTAATTTCAACGCCAGCTCCACCAGAATTTCACCCACATCCCATGGGAGGTGGGGTACAATGACTCTGGACAATTTTGTGGCAATTTCCGAACCTGTTGGTGGACACCACAGGTAAAGAATGTTTTCAAGCTGAAGAAGGAGTCCTGTCAGGCCTTCTTGATCTGTGGGACTCTAGAGGCAGCTTATGCATACCGGCTGGCCAAGTACAACAGTTTTGCTGGTCACTGAAGCAAAAACTGGTGCATGGGAGAGGTTCGATGAGGCCATGGAAAACGACTTCTGGATCACTTCAACTCAATTCTTGTCCACCATCCCGAGTCTAATTACTGTAATACCAAGGAGATGACCCCCAATTTTAAGAAAGGACACCGGAGGCTGTGTTTCAGACTCTCTAAAGCTCTATTCGGAGGTGCTGGAGAGGAGGGTCCATTGGGAAGTCGAATCTCAGTTTCAGGAGGAGCAGGACAGTTTATGTCTGGGCCGTGGAATGGTGGACCAGCTCTAGACCCACAGCAGGGTACTCGAGGGTGAATGGGAGTTTGCCCAATTAATCTACATATTTTGTCTATTTGGAGAAGGTGTTCGTGTGTGTCCCTCAGAGTTTTGTGAAGGATACGTTGGGAGAATGGTGTATCGAACCACCTCATACGGGCTGTTGGTCCCTGTACAACTAACGTCAAAGTTTGGTCCACACTGCTGGCAGTAAGTTGGATTTGTTTCCAGTCAGGGTTGGACTCCGCCAAGGATGCCCTTGGTCACACTTCTTTTCATAACCTTTAAGGACAGAATTTGTAGGTGCAGCCAAGGTATTGAGGAGGTCCAGTTGGGTGGCCTCAGTATTGTAACTCTGTTTATTGCAGATGATATAGTACTCAACTCAACCACTGCACTGTTTGGCAGCTGTGCTAACCAGTCCGCCATCATGCCGCCTCAATGAAAAATGTCACAGACATATTATTAAGACAGCTGGGAACTGTTTTAAATTGTCGAAAACTATTTATTTTATGTCTCCTTTCAGGCCAATGTGATTCTAAAAGGGGTAAATCATAACAGATGTCTCAGTGATATTTTTTCAAATGGAACTGATTTAGATTTTTCCAATTAAATTGTCCTGATTACAGTGTACGGACAGTATATTAAATGATCAAAAAAGGAAATAGATCATTTCTTTTGATTGCCGCAATTTTATTTGCCCTCAGAGCTGGTATATGTGTGTGAGGATAACCTTCAGCGATCTCTCAATTTTGGTGGTCGCCGTAACATCCCTTCACATGTCGAACTGGAAGCTAACCTGGCAAGTTGAGCTATTGGTTTTTACACGATAAAGTACTGTATCAAAATTTTCTAAAATGACAGGGGAGAAAACTACTCTAGCATTATTTGCAGCTGTAATCTTACATGTTTTTTTTTTGTTTTCTGGGGGGGTTGTTTGTTTTTGCAGGCGGGCAAATCCTCACAGCTCATTTCTATCCAGCTGCCAGGCGAAGTGAAATTCCCTGTCAAGATACATAGCTTCAGTGTAAGTATTAATCCATCAACGGACAATATTGTCTAGCACACCATTCGCCACTTCTGCCAAGGATCTAAGGGGTACCCAGCAGCAAATGTCCTAGAGAGGCAAGAAGGCTCCTGCCTGCTCTTTTCGTCTCATATTTTTTTTTTTATCAATAGTGCTGAGAGTCCAAGATGACTAATTCCATGGTTTGTCTTTTCGGAAGAAAAAAAAAATACGGAGGTTATATCAAGACAAAAGATAGCACTATAGACAAAGTCAGCGAAGCAGAGGAGTAATAGTTGAATCCTTTTTCCTAGGGGTGTTTTAATCTGGTTTTCATGCTGCCAATTCCGATACTGATTATCCATGACTGATTGATTATCATGATTATCCATCATATTGATTGGCTGTTTATTTTTTAATGTGAGAGCTGCTCACGAACAATTGTTTTAATAAGTAATCTGATTTTAAACTGTGACACGCAGATAATGTGGTTAAGGAAAAGGGTGAGGAGACGCTGCATTGCACACAGGCTTGTCTCTCGTTGGCTGCGGGTTGCAAAGTACGAGTTGCGGATTATCATTTTTTGTGATGGGCAATGAAAGGCGTTGATCGAAATGCCAATCACATACTTTCCCATGGAAAATGTTCACCCTCACTTTAGTCATGTTTATATTGCATTGCTTTACTTATCATTCATTTCATTTATATGCGTGCTTTTAAAAACATGCCAAACTAAACCAGGGGCATCCAAAACCCTTGAGGACCGGAGCTGGATATACCCGAATTAAACCAAATAAGGTTGATACTAATATAGTGTAGACATTGGTGTAGCTTAAAATGGACACCTGCTGCTTATTCAATACATAACTGAAGAGCAATGGCGATTGATCAGTGTCAATAATAAATGCTCATGCTCAGAAAAATGAATGGGTGGATGAAAATAATTAGCCAGCCCACAGCGCAATTGCCAGCCGGCCCTAAATGGAGTGTTTGGTGTGACACACTACAATCCGTCTATGGCCATAAAGTTCGAGTCGCATTTATTTATTTATGTCTGTTGTCCTCAAGATGGCAGCAGATGTGATCAACGAACTCTGCAAAGAAATGAGTATCTCGAATCCCTCCGAAATGAATGAATTCTCCATCTTCGCCCACCGCCAGAAAGGTACAGTTCAGACCAACGCGGCATGTTTACTGTCTGCCAATTACACAGCAGCTCCACTGCTGATAAATGATTGATAAATGACAGCCATGTTTTTTTTTTTTTTTTTTAAATTTCGTTTCGTTTTCACACCATCCCATCTTTTTTTCAGACGGGATGGTGCGCCCTCTCCATTCGAGTGAGTACCTGATGGACTTTTTGCTGGACGATGGCTGCATCTTCTTGTCAATAAGAAGAGTGATGTGGCAAATTCCTCTGTGCTTCAACAACGATTTATATGTGGAGTTTCACTATCAACAGGTAAATTGATTCGCTAAAAAAAAAAAAAAAGGCTAACTAGCGCACCCTACAAAATTCTAACAATGCAGTAAGCATAATGGAAGCTTGATCTATGAAATTTTGGTGGTTTATGTAATAGCCCAAGACCTACAAAAAAAGTCTCTTGGAGGCATATGCTAAACCTAACAGGAAGTCCGCTGTCTTTTGTCTTTTTTTTAATTCGGCGTCACTTTGACTACAAAAGCTGCTGTAACTTGATCCACAAAATCATATCCTGTTAAAATGTCATACATTTGATAAGTCTAGGCCTAAAGACATCCACAAACCTATTTATTTTGTTGTGGTAGCACCGCCCACTGGCTGAAGGAAATCTTTGTTTTATTCTCCCGGCTGTTGCCATGGCAATGCACTTTTCGCCAAGAAAACAACCGTTCTTTTAAGGGCTAAATATGTACAAAAACGTTTTATACAAATACCTTATCCTTGTTTACGCTTGTGGGATCAACCCCGATGGAACGTGACACCTGCAGAGTTTGCCCCGTGATCGATGGGGGTGCCAAAAATGCTGGCCCTTAACCGTTCATCCCACAAGCAGAGTATGAGAAAGGTTTCAAAAGCAGCCATTTGTTTATTGACAGATCATGGACAGCTGTAAATCTTGGTTGAATTGTATTGTATCAGTGTTAATATTTCCTGTCTAATAATATGAAATAAAGAATCTCTCTCTCTCTCCTTCTCTTGCTCTCTCTCTCGCTCTCATTCTCTCTCTCACTCTTTAGCTCAAGGAGGACTACTTGAATGGCCTTCTCCAGCTCACTCCTGCTGCAAATGGGTCCTCATCAGTCCAGCAGATTTCAGAGCTGGCAGTCCTGCAGCACCTGGCTCAGGGACTGAAAATACAGCTCTCAGTGTAAGTGTTTATCCACATACACTATATCAGGTTGATTTGTCTTTTGGCCACGTCGATCAGAAATCCAGGCAGCTGCTCTTAAAATTGGAATAAGCGGGTGTATAGGCGGAACTTCCAGCTGCACACACAACAGCTTTCAAATACAGGGAGAACACCGTGCAGTCATCTATCCATTTTCGTCGCGGGGCGTGCTGGAGACTATCCCAGCTGTCTTCGGGCAGTAGGCGAGGGACAGCCTGAACCTGTTGCCAGCCAATCACAGGGCACACACAGACAAACAACCATCCGCGCTCACACTCACACCTAAGAACAATTTAGAGTGTTCAATCAGCCTGCTATGCATGTTTTTGGAATGTGGGAGGAAACCGGAGTACCAGGAGAAAACCCACGCAGGCACGGGGAGAACATACAAACTCCACACAGGAAGGCCAGAGCCGGGATCGAACGAACAACCTCTGCGCTGTGAGGTCCATGCGCTAACCACTTGCTCATCAAGCCAGCCCAGGGAGAGCACATTGATTCACTTTTTTTTTTTTTTGAGAAGATCCAAAATAATAAATACTACGCATATCATACATAGTTTTTTTGTTTTTGTTTTTGCGACGGTTCTCAGAAATCTAGACGGCCTCTGTGAGAATTGTAATTGGAAGAAATGCGTGCGTATGTCCAAGTTCTAGCTACACACAAAACAGGTTTCCATTTGCTGCCATCAAGAAGACATTGAGTCTTACGTCTTTTTTTTTAAATTTTTTTTAACTTTTCAATTTAAGAAACGCCACATATTTTTAACTCATTCACTCCCAAAGACGTTTTTAAACGTCTTTTCAGACTTGGTCCAGAATTGGCTGGTACTGAATGAGTTAATTGGAGACTGGTCTGGACTGCAGGAAGGCCAGTTTAGTACCTGCCCTCTTTTACTACAGAGCCATGCTGTTGTAACACATGCAGAATGTGGTTTGGCATTGTCTGAAATTAAATAATATTTGATATTACATGTATACAATTCCAATATATAAAGCATTAGGTGTTACATTATTACTCACAATGATATACTTTAACCTTAAAGGCCAATCCTTTTGGCTCATGCAGGTCATACATTAATTTAATGCGGTTCCAACCAGACGTCTGTGACTCATATCAGCCAAGCACTTAATTGCAGGGTTAAATGCGCCGTGTCAATCTTAGGTGAGCTTAACAATCATTGTGGCTTGTCGCTTATTCACCACCACGAAGGCAATGATTTTGGTTTTAGGAGCGGCCAATATGGTCACGAGACTGAACCAGATACACACAGATACTTCCTCCTCCTTTTTGGCCTCTTTTGGAAACTGGCTGTTTTGTATGCCGCATGGTCCCGCAGACATCAATATTATTGTCCCACTTTTTTTTTTTTTTTTTTTCACCACGCTGTGTGCATCTGTCTGCATGATGCATAACATAGTAGAACAATTCCAGATCTTTTTTTGTGAAATTAGGGCCCTGCTTACACAATGGTCACATATCAACAATAAAATAATGTTATTGTCATTTTTTTCCCCTCGAAATTGCAATCACAATTTGATTTTAATTTTTTTTTTCCAAGAACATTCCCCCCCTCAAAGATAAATTCAACACTTTATTGAAACATACCATATCAGATCTACAATGCATTAGTGTAGATAAAATTGAAGACAAATTAAACATTATATGAAAGTTTATTTTCTACAAGTACAGGTATAAAACTAGTGAATACTTTGATGTGCAGTTTGGTAAGTGTTCACCACAACAACTTCGTTCTGCCACACAGGTGTGATGGAAACATAACTACATACTATACTGTAATGGCACAAAATGTATAAAGTGCATATCACAACAATTATGCAAACAAATCAGTAGCTTTGCTACTTCCTACATATTATTTTGTTTCATGTAACATGAATTTATGCGAACGTGGACTGCACTTCTTAATCATTCAACGTCTCAAATAAACCAAGAAACAATAATCTCATGGCTTTACCGCTCCCTCCATACCACTTCATTTATGTTAAGCTTAGCTTGAGATGAGCACAGGAGACACAATGAACTCAGTACTGGTTTATTGTCAGGGAAGAGAGACAGGTCAAGGAGGCGGGAACCAAAGGCAGTCAGAGAAACCAAACCGAGGTGTACAGGAGTGCTGAGCGCAACAGCTCGGCAGTAGCGAGTACGGCAGCGAAGGTAGCTAACGAACTGATAACGGGTGGGCTCTTCAGACTGGCCTTTATACTGACGAGGTGAAGACTGGCAGGTGTGTAGGTGAGCCAGGTGCAATGATTGGGGAGACGCCCAGCCCCACACTGACAGACACAATGCATTCTATTTCATGAAACATGAATTGTACACATGAACTGCACTTCTTAATTTATCATGTATCATATTTTTATGACCATACGGCGCACCGTATTGAAAGGCGCAGTCGCGGTTACGGGTGCTATGTGTCTATTTAATACATACACAAAGTGAACTGTCTTATTGGACGCGATCAAGGTAATACATATGCTAGCTTAAAAAATATGGTAGCCCGCATGCACGGTAGCATATATTTTTAAAAAGGCAGCGGGAACAAAACTGAGTTCGGTTGTACTTTATTGAAGTATTTCACAATGTACTCTTATTTTTTTTTTAATCGATCCTCATCCACAAATCCATCAAAGTCCTCATCTTCTGTATCCGAAAATCCGAAACAGCTGGACATGACTTATGGTTTTGTTTTATGTATTCCTTTGTCAGGTTGGAAATCAAGAAATACTTGCCTGCTCAGGAGGGGCAGAACGTGAATATAGATGGGATCCACTCTCTCTGTTTAAACAAGATAGACGCCATGAAGGCTCTCAGCCCACTCGATGCCAAAATACAATTTATTGGTTAGTAGGAGGTTGCTTCTCCTTTCCCCATATCCTTGAATTATTTGAAATCAAGTTGTTTGACTGTTTTTGGCAGTGCTTCTGACTGAGCAACATTTGTTTGGCTCCAACAATTACTTGGCCCAGAAAGTCAGCCAGCGTGGATGTCCTTCCCCTTGCATCGTCAGTGTCAACCATGAAGGAGTGCAATTTCTTCATCCTAAAACACAGGTACGGAATGTCAATGATGTCTTTTTACATTTTGAACATTGCTTTGTTAAGGCCCAAGCTCCTAGCGTTCCTTGGCTTAAATCACCTTTTTGAGGGCTTTCCCATTTTTAACATTTTCGCATGGTTGAAGGGAAAGGCAGAATTGCTAGCTAAATTGAACCACATGTGCTAGACAGAAGGACTAACCTAAATTGCAAGAGGAAAAACCTCTCATACTGTGTGGTCTGAGTACAGTGTAAAATGTTGATGACCTGCAGAAAAACGAAATTGAAGTCATGCGGCTACATAGGGTCAGGTCTTAATCACACTGTAGAGGCCGCCATTCACTCCTAAACAAGGCCGACTTTGGCCACGTGGACTAGTGGGGCGCCACCATCGCTGCCCACAGCTTTCATTTCGACATTCGTTGGTTGGCTGTACGGGGTACCTTACCTGTTGGCCCTGCCTCTGCTAAATGGATCGCCCTTCAAATCTATATCTCATTTCTTTGCAGGAGAAAGTGTTTCAAATCCCTCTCACAGATGTTCAGTCCATGCGCACTGTGCGACCCAAAAAAGCAGGAAGACTACCATCGATGGAAATCAGTTATGGAACACCAAATAAGTTCCAAAAAATAACAATTCAGCTCAAACAGGTGATGACTTAAATTCTTTCTTTGCAGCTGGCATTGCCATATGTCCCTGTTGAACACTATTCTTTGATTAAAATCAAAATTGAATAGGGTGAAGGTAACAAAAAAAAAACCCCAAAGACATCTTATGACAAGCTCTGCCACTTTGTTTTTGTGATGTAATGTAAGCCTTGAAATGTGGTGCAGTCAGGTTTTAATCAAGGTGGACACGACCACTGACGACAACATTAAATGGCAGTTACCAACATCATATTGTGTCACTTGGATAGGCTCACATTGTTAACTAATAGCTGAAACTTTGGAGCCATAATACGATGGTGTCTTCATACCTCAGACACAATGAGATATTATATTATGAAAAGCCCCAATTATAAAATGACCTACGTAGCTGGTATCAGAAGGGTATATCTGTTGTTTCCAGCAAACCAATCTGTGTCAACATTGGCAAAGAATTCAGCGAGTAGTGATTGATTTATTGGAGCCAAACAACTTAACTTCAACAACAAAGGACTCTAGCCGGTTAAAGATGGCCAGCCTCCCTGCTTATTTACAGTAACTCTATGGCAAAGACAACAAGACAGTTGAAAACGATGCATAAAGTTACGTAACTGTGAATAATCGTCACCGAACTGCTCATAGACATCCACACTCATGCCCACTTCAACCTCTGAATTGATCAGAATGACCGCCTCGATATTTTGAATTTAATAACTGTTGAGTAGGGCCAAATGAAGCAAAATTGGGCTTGCTAAATGAAGCTTCACTTCAGAGTGTGTGTCGATTGCAAGAAAATCACATGACCGATGACAAACAAGGCCCTGGTTTGTGCGGATGATATATTTGGTTCATTCAACGTATAGCCTTGTAACACTGGAGACCTTACGTCGTTTTACAGGTGATGTCGCCATTTGTAGTGAGCTTAAAGCTAGTTGGCGAGTCACGCTGTGTGTCAGAAAAGAACACTTGTGGAGGTTTAGCATTTTGATTTCAGTCATTGTTTGCCTGTTGCAGTCTCATTATACATAAAAGTTGCTGGAGCATTGCACTTCCAGTCGCGGGATCTCGGGTTTGATCCCCTTTATAACTTTGACAGTTTTAAACTCATACTTATTTGTAAACATTGTTCGCATGATGTTGTGTTGCTGCCGACATAATCTGCGAGGTGCCCAACAATGCAACAGAACTACCTTAGCAATGACAATGTGTCCACCAAGCCATTATGACGTTTGCTCTCAAAGCTTGTCGGAATACAGTCCTTGGATCAAGTAGGTAATCCCATCGTGTGCAGTTTACAACATGACACGGCATCAAATTGCAACCAATAACGCTAGGCTAATAATCGCAGCCTATATAGCTCACCATTCTTCCACTCCTGATGGGTCTCGTCTCAATTCCATGTCCAGCCATTCGGGCACATTTTATCATTTTATCACCCCCACTAGTGTGTTGAATATAATTAATATTTAAAAACAAAAGCAATTAAATAGTACAAAAAGAGCACCCTTGTCGTGCGTGCGCGCTTGTAAGTGCCGACTCCCACAGAAGTAAACAAGTTAGTTTACCGACAGAGAAGCAACGCAAGTTAATGTTGATGTATGGAAACAAACATGCATGCAAATGACCATTTCTCGTGTCACCCCCCCCCCCAAAAAAAATACTTTTTCCATTTTTTTTCATTGAACAATCAGTTGCTATCATGACAGGCCTATGTGAAGACATTTTACGGACCAAAATATTTCAAAATATCACTCACCAAAGCAGACTAGTGGGCTCACATCCACAAGGGGCTAAAATATCTTTAGAGTCTTGCTTGTCTCCTCCTTCCTTCGCTTTGCAGTATTGGACAGATAAGAGTGATGCAATTTCTTACCATATCCAACTGATGATTATAGGCCCGATAAATATTGTACATCCTGAATGTATAAACGACACACCTACTGCTAAACCTGTCATGCTGTGACTACTAATTGTCCTATCATTGTGTAGCCTTTAATCTTTTATCATTCTGTGTATATGTTGCTACTGCCTGATCTTCTTGACATTGAGCAAATGAAGCACCCTGAAACTGTGAACCATTTCCAAACCAATTGGCTGAAAAGCCTCAATGATTCATTACAATTCATTTTGCCATGTAAATATTGGAAGTTGAGAGAACAGACACCCTGCGGAGGAAACTAATTTTGGCTGCTCGCATCTTTTTCTTTTGGTTATGACCCACATCGCATGACAATAGGTGAGGGTGGGGACGTACTGTACATCGACCGATAAATTGAGAGCTTCGCCTTTAGCTCAATTCCTTTATTCACCACAAGAAACCAATCCAAAGTCAGCAAAACTGCACCAATTGGCCCGTTGATCTCTAATTCCTCTCACTCATGACCAATACTTACAAAACTTCCACTTGGGGCAGGATTTCCTTCTCAAACTGACGCCTTCACTCCACCCTTTTCCAACTGAGCATGATGTTGCAGAAGTGTGTCAACCAGGACAGCCACAAAACGTGCAGAGCTTTTACTCAGTCCACTTTTTAAAATGATAAATTGATCAATTCTGGTGTAAATACAACGTTGTTATGATGTGTGTCTTTTTTATGTGCAGTACATATGTCAAAGCTGTGCTGTGTCTCATTTTTTTGTTCATCGCCTTGATTCTCTTTCAGGCCAAGGAGCTGTGTCACATCCTTGCTATGATAATGGAAGAGTTGATCCGTCCCTCAGTCGCCAGTTCCATCTCAAATTTCCAGTAGACACACTCCACTTTCTCTTTAAAACTAATGCATACAACCATTTATACTCACAATCACACCTAAAGACAATTTCGAGTTATCCATTAATCTAGCGAGAATATTTTTGGAATATGGGAGGAAACCGGAGTACCCAGAGAAAATCCACACAGGCACAGGGAGAAGGTGCAAGCTGCACACAGCAAGGCCGGAGCCCGGAACCGAACCCTGGACCTCTGTACTGTGAGGCGGATGTGCTAACCAGTCGACCACCGTGCGGATGCATCTGTTAATTTTTGTTTATTCTTTTATCTTAAATACAATTCAATTGTGTGTAATAATATTAACTGATTGACTTACAGGAGACAGTAAATGTTGGTTTTGCATTAAAATTTTATGACATCAGAGCTGAACAAATCATCTTTTATATTAATTCGCTATGCTAACAATGTAAGAAAGGTGAATAAGACAGTCAATAAAAAGAAACATGTTGAGATTTTTTATTTTGATTTTCCATGACAGATTTAATTTACTTTAGTTAAGTAATGGAATTGAATGTTGATTTGTGTGTGTGTTTGGGGGTGCATAGCAAGGTAATAATCCGACAGAGACATGGGATCTTGGCAGTCCTTAAATACAGCTGTCCCCAATCCCCGGGCCGTGGACCAGTACCAGTCCATTGGTCATCTGGTACCTGGCCGTACAGAAATAATCAATAATTTAGATTACAACAACTTAATTTTTATTTATTTTTTCATCTGAAAGATGTTATACTTATATTATATACTTATACTACTGTTACATCCGTCTACAGCATGTCATTCTTGGCGCAGGTGAAGGCGCGCTTCTTGGTCACGTGATTGGTTACCGCTAAAATGAAACCCAGGAGTTAGCAAAATGAGTGAAAAAAAACAAACGTTTTTGGAAAGCTTCTTTGGGAAGGAGAAAAGGCCCGACCAGGAGACTTTCAAGAAAAAGAAGGCTACCTTTAAGAGACAGTATCAGGAGTCCTACTTAAAATATGGATTTATCTCAATGGCAGATTCCCACGCACCAAGCCCACTCCGAATATTATGCGGAGAAGCAAGTCGTATTTTTCATGCACTTCTTTATTTGCGGTGTATTTCATTTTGAAGGCACATTTAAACATTACCATTCCAACCAGAGAGCTTGAAGGCACATTTAAACATTACCATTCCAACCAGCGAGCGTTGCGGCCATATAGGACGCTCCTCATGTCATGATTCCTGTTTATTATGAAAATATCACAATTTTCATGCAGGTCATATAATATTTTGTTGCATTTAACCGTCACACCTTAAAGGCCGGTCCCTGAAAATATTGTTTGACATTAAACCGGTCCGTGGGGCAAAAAAGGTTGGGGACCTGCTGTTAAATACATATCTTAACATGATGATCAAATTGACAGCAGGTTGCACGCTGGAGAAAAAGCCCTCCACTGCCACCTGCTGGAAACACATAAGAACAAGATCATGACAATGGCCTCCTCACTGACTTAAGCCCATTCGAGTCAGAAGTAGGTGACGTATGCTCTGATGTACGATTCTGAAAATTCAGCTAAACAGAAGATGTTTTCCAAGCTCCAGAGTCTGTTGCCTGTCCCGCTCAGCACCAGCTACAGATTGACAGAAGCAATCTGAAGCAAGTGCATTGTGTGTGGGCCATATCGTAGGGGTGAGCAGATTTTGATTTCCAAAAAAAAGAGTACACTCAGCCTGGCCTCAAGATACTAAAATTATACTCAAAGATGCTGTATATGATCACACTAATACCTTTAACGTAAAGCTGCACGATATTGGAATAACGTGCAACCCGTGAAACGGGTGTCACATATTGAAATATTGATACTGCGATATTCGACATTACTGAAATAAATTACATCTTTACTATCTAATGAAAGAAATGTTTTTTTTTTTACATGGAAACATATGGATGTATTCTAATCAAATTATCTCCATATTGGATGGCGGAAACTCCAGTTGTAAAAAAGTGGTGAACGTGCCTCTCTCTTTGGAATAGATGAAAGGATGGCCTTGTATGTGGGGGATTTGTGGTATCGTAAGCCTCTTTTTAGAAATGGTCTTTCCACCCTCACGTAGATGGCCTTTCTGAAGGTGGAAAGACCATTCGTGGTTTGGTCGTGCCTTCAACTGGAGCATTGGGAGCATAAACAGTAGTTTTTTTCCTCACACTCCAACTCATGCTCGTGTTGTCCGAACTAAGCTTTGTTGCATTAATTGAAAAATCCTGCTGGTATGAGAGGAGAAACGTCTTATCAGAACAGTTGAGTTGTGATCGATTCAATGTCCTGACTTGAATGAATGAAACCACTTGCGCATCTGTGATCCTCGTGCCCAATGAGGAAACTACACAAGAGCAATAAGGCACCCCTGCGGTTAGAGCTGGCCGATATGACGATGCATATATCGCGAAGACGACAGAAAACTTTCCGTCATTTCACTTTTCGTGTCTCTGATCATTTTAGACCCACTTTTTTACCTAAAGAAAACTGTGAGTAAAAAGAACAACAGACAAAGCTTCATCTGATGGGCCAAAGATTTCACTTACCATTGTTATGCCACATCGCGGTCACCATATGGCAGATTGAACAAAAACGCAGGAAGGAAATGCATGACAATCATACATAACAAACATACGGCGTCAATGAAAATGAATAAATAACAAGCTGAGTGAATACAAATAATGTATTGTACTGCTAAGGGAAAGAATAAACGAACAACAAACCCCAAATGATTAATTATTTACAAAATAAAAAAGAGCGCCTCTAGGCATGCTGGGTACTCCTGGGAACTGAGGCTCGCATAGCGGTTTAGGTTTTCAGCCTCATCAAAACACAAAGAGTAAAACTTTGAATTGCATACGTTTAATTCTTTCCTGTAATTGAATGGTGGACAAAAAGCTTTACTGGACTACTTTCAACACATATGGGAGGGTAGTCGACAGGTCGAGGCGAGAAATCAGTGGTACTTAGGCCGTATTAGCTAGCTAACAATGAGCTTTGTTTGGCCTCTACATCGGCTCAACACATTGCGGTTTCACTCTGAAATCAGTAATTACAGTTCCATCATGGCGAATAAACTACACTTCTTACAAGAAAGTATTACAAAGAGTAATTAACAACAAGAGATGGAGAAGCTACGCTAATTGCTAAGCTAACGCACCGTTATCCTGAAAGATCGGAATTAGGTGCTCGGGTGACTGAGTACACTTCACAGAAGCGTTAAATCGGAGTGTATCCAAATTTGAACAGCAAAATACCAGGCCATTTAATAAGTGTCTGGAGAGAAAATTAAACAAAATAACAGCTCAGCAGGAAAAAATTGTGACTGGTCTGCGTCCTATACATCAGCTGATGGTACCTGGTCACGTGAACCTTTCCCGCGCTTCACAAATCGCCCCAAAAGAGGCTTTGTTTTCTTGGTCATGTGACTTTTTCCCCCTCGATACGCACATCCACGAACGAGACGTCAAATTTCCCCTGGTCACGTAACAAAAACGTAACTGACACGCGCCTCGAAACCAGACTTCATTTTCACACGTTTAGAACATGTCATCCCCCCCCCCCCTCACTATTTGTCAGTACGTCGCGCTTTCTCCCAGTCAGATTGGCAGCTCTCTTTAGAACATGTCACTTTCTTTTTCCCCTTCGCTATTTGTCAGTACGTCGAGCTTTCTCCCAGTCATATTGGCAGCTCTCTTCCATGTCTTCCGCATCCAGCTCTGTGTGGAGTTATTTTTTAGAGATAAAGACTTTTACTTTTCAACTTCCGTGTCAAGTCCGCTTCTGGGTCCAATTCCTGCTCATCACGTGACAGTTGAGGATGTTAATCCTCAACTGTCACGTGGCATTGGCACAAGTTGCTTTTTTGAAAAATAGCTGCTAGAAAGAGCGGAAAATAATGCAATAATGTTGCAAAGTCAGCAAATCTATAGTCAGCCACACACATGCACATCAAAATAAAATGACACATTTCAAAATAAATGCACATTATATTTATATTCAGGTATTTAGTTTGACTTTCTAAATACTGCAAGGGCGGTCAGACACTGTGGACGAGCTCGATGGGGCCTGTGTTCTGCCCAGGTATGACATCGGTCCTCATCGCTGCTGTTACACAATAAAATCTACAAATTGCAACAACAACAAAACATGGCTGATTACAGATATTGTCTCAATGTACATTTAATAAAGTTCATTTACATCTACATTTTATGGTCGTTGAGAAAATGAAAATAATACAGTCATTAAAACATTCACCGTACGGTTAATAAAGCTTTTGTGACGGCAATGACTGGAATGGATGATTTCAATTGTAATTGATTACTATGATCACATTTGTGTCGAAACTGAACAGAATGGAATGGGACAAGCACCACACAAGAGAGTATATTGTCATTAGAATGGGCTTGTAGACCTTATATTTTGACCATGGAGTATCAATGCCCACATGATCAAAGCATCTGAAGTATTTTCTCAGCAGTTCCCTTGATCAAAGTAGTGACACAAGATCTGGGATCTTTTTTCGAGACCAATTTATTGGTCCAATGAGATGATTCAGTCTGTGATGAATGAAGGAATAAAAGGCATCAACTTAGACAACTACACAACAATTGTGACACGTTTTTCAATAATTCCTCTCTTAAGTCATGTGCACCATTATGTATTGATATATACATTCCAAATACATACAAATTGAGCTAGAACATGACTGCTCAGTAGCTGTAGACAAGCATAATGACCTTCCAACTTCTGTGTTGGATTGCGTGACTGAATTGTCATATCTTTACTTCTTTCAGTTGATAGCAAGATGTAAAAATGTAATTTCCTCCCCCACCCCACCCCACCCCCCCCGTATGGGGAACCAGAAGGTTATCAAATAAGTACGAGATTGTGTTTCATGTGCTTCTTTACAGTGTCACGTTCTGACCCAATAAAAAATCCTTTTTGTCAGATGTACAGCAGGTATCATATGAAATACATTTCTAGTTCTTATGTATAAAGCAGACCCACGCTGCATGCTTTACAAAATTCCATATTTCTGGATACAATCAATACATTTGTGGAGATACAATTCCGTCAAGTCCTCCTGGATGAGCCGACGTGAGTGGTTTCAAAATTGTCAACCGTTGCTTTGCCTTCCTTTACCTTTGATATTTTTCTCCGCAGAAGGATCCTAATTTAGTAACCATCCATTCACTGAAAAAGAAAAAAAAAAGGCAGTTGGAAAAGTAACCCACAAAATGCATCATATACTGGTCACAGAAAGCTCTGCAATAGCTGGGCCTTGCTTGACTTGTCACATTGCTCTCTCACACTTCCTTATTAACCCTTTAAAGGCACAACGGTTACTACAGTGGACGGCTGTCATACCCGGACAAGTTTAAACAAAAGAACTCGACTCACGGAAGGTTGTTGGTGCAGCCGACGGGAGCGGAACTCTCAGAGCGAACGACGGGGAGTTGCTCCGCGATCACAAAGTTCCTCGTGCTCCTTGTCGGTCTTTTATTGTTTACATATGCAAAATACAAGAAAAACACTGCCCCGACATTTACAGACCACGCCCCCAGTCTGGCCCCTTGGCGGTGATTCGATTAACTTTTGTCAAGCTTTGAACCACAGATACTTTAACACTGTCATGGTCTGGTCTCCCACCAATAAACAAGTCGCAGACTTTGCAGATGACAAATGTTCGCCTGGGCACGACCAGTTCCCAGACCGTCTTTTCATGTTCTAAAACATTTCGTTTCTAAACTGTTTACTCCCAAACTGTAAGGCAACTCCCTGTGGACTTCAAAGAGCGCTCAGGCCCGACACCCTTGCACAGACATTTAGGGGCACTAAATACACAACCCGTCTAGACAGGCCCAAATTAAATGGAACTTTAAACACGATATCATTCTGTTTGTAGATTCCTCTAACAACGGCTTATCATGTTATCAGGTTACAGGTTATCTTTATTGGTCAAAGGGTTAATAGTGCCACCCATGTGACGTTGGGGACTATGGGTGTGACAGATATGAATGACATGCATGGCTATAGTATTCCCTGACAGGTCTCTGAGTTTTTTTTCCCTCTTGGCATTTACATGTAGTGGAAAAGTTACGCTGCTGTAAAAAATAAAAACAAGATGTTTAATGATCAAGCATAGACATCAATGGTAATACTGAGCAATGCAATTCTTACTTCGATTGCTTCCCTCCACTTATACATAGAATATTTAAAAAGCAAGTATAAATAAAATAAAAGGAGGGCGGCATGGTGGTAGACTGGTGAGCACGTCCGCTTCACAGTGCAGAGGTCCTTGGTTCGATTCCAGGCCTCGGCCTTCAAATGCAATTCTTACTTCGATTGCTTCCCTCCACTTACACATAGAATATTTAAAAAGCATGTTCTCTCCGTGCCTGTGTGGGTTTTTCTCCCGGGTACTCCGGTTTTCTCCCGCATTCCAAAAACATGCATGGCAAGTTCCTGGAAAACTCTAAATTGCCCCGAGGTGTGAGTGTGAGCATGGTTGTTCGTCGATGTGTGCCCTGCGACTGGCTGACAACCAGTTCAGGGTGTGCCCCGAGTACTGCCCGAAGACGGCTGGGATAGGCTCTAGCAACCCCCTCGAACCTTGTGAGGAGAAAGCGGATCGTAAAATAAATGAATGAGTGTATTTGTCTATAGTTTGTTAGTACTCTACTTAAGTTAATGCAAACATACCATCGCTGTCTTCGGGCATGTCGGCATTCAGCTATTAAAGTGTGACAGTTTAGAGAGCAGAGCTATTGCACAACAAAATAATTCAACTATGAGCAGGACTACAAAAGTCCTGCATAGTTTTGATTCAGAAGTCTTAGATTCTAAGTAATTTTTACTCGAGTGATGGTATGTGGGTTTAACCCATGTGCTGCAGTCGATCTAAATAAGTTTATATAACGCAACATACAATCTTACAAAAATTGTAAAAGTATTATTCCTGAATATTTATTTCACTTTCAACCACTCGACATGTTCAGTGGCATCAGTGCTATACATACACATATAGTTCTTATTTTTTTCTTTGTATTTTTGCCCTCTATGGACAATAAAAGCGGTATTGTGCTATGAACAAAACATAAATATAAATAAAACATGAATTGGAATATTTCATATCACACACTTTTTATGCTGTGTCTTTGATTTAAAGATGACAATACGCAAAAATCTACAAAAATTGTAGAAATTGTAACATATGGGGTAACCCATGTGTTACAAACATCGTAGATATTGCAGCACAAGGGTTACGCTGTGTTTTAGTCTTCTGGTTCTGACTGCAATTGCTCCGATAGCGGCCCTCGGATGGAAGAAGAGTAAATAGTGTGTTGTGGATGTGTGCTGTCTCCGGTAATGCTTCGTGCCCTCTTTGTTGGAGCCCTCAAGACACTCCCTGGAAGCATCACATGTTCAGTACATACTCTTACAAGAAAATAAAAGGAAGGAAAGACATGAACAAATGAGAACACCTCATCGAGGAGACATCCAGCAAGCATCCGAACCAGATTGCCAATCTGGCTTGTCTCGTAGTGGTGCCGCAGCATTTCTACTCTGAGCCCCCACCGGATGATCTTCTCACCCTATCTCTAAGGAGTAGACCAACTATCCTGCAGAGGAAACTCATTTCAGCCACTTTTATCCATTTTCTTTTTCTTTCAATCACAACCCACAGCTTGTGACAATCGTTGAGTTTCTCCACCATGACGGACAAATGCTAAGTTCCCCATTTACTGCAGATGCTGCACCAATTCGCCTGGCGATCTCCACTTCATTCTTCCTTCCCTGATGAATAAGACTCCCAAAAGACTTGAACTCATCCACTAGGGATGGAATTTCATGGAGGGCGCTCCACCCTATACCGACTGAAGACCATGCCCTCAGATTTGGAAGTACTAATTTTCATTCCAATTACGTTGGACAATGAATCACGGACGGCAGTAAGAATTGAAGACGATTAAGCTAACAAAGCCACATCATCAGCAATAAGCAGAGACGTATTTCTGAGGCCGCCCAACCCAACCCTCTCAACACTTGGACTGCAACTAGAAATTCTGTCCCTAAAGATTCTGAACAGTACAAGTGACAGCCCCTGTGGAATCCAATCATCACTGGAAACAAATCGAACTTTGTGCCGATGCATTCCAAACTCTGACAGCAGTCATACAGCGACAAAACAGGCCCGATTGGGAGGGGGTCGGGGGGGTGTTAAGTACCTCCTCCTCCTGAAGCATTCCCTTACAGGACTTCCGGAGCGACTGGGTCAAACACCTTCTCCAAGTCCACAAACAATAATTAGAAAAGTTGGGTGGAGTCCCGCACACTCACCAAGACCCTGTTGAGAGTATAGAGCTGGTCCACTCTTCCATGGCCAGTACATATCAAGCCATCAAAGTGTCGCAAGATATCTGAAAATGTCTTAATAACCAAAATCAGGACCTCTCAAGACATTTTGATACATCAAGACTTCTTAAGACAAGCATTTAAGACTCTTAAGAAATATTTCCTGAGTCTTAAGACATGCCCATCTTAAAATAGTTTGAAACGTGAGTATGAATGTCTCATAGAAATGGTCAAGTTATCTTCTTTCACCTGGAGTATTATGACAATGATAATTATCTATTGATATTTTGTTCATGTTTTATGTTATGTGTACTGCACTTTACTTTGGAGTCAGCCAATCCTCCATTTAGCGTCTCCAGTTGGTCCAGAATGCTGCTGCTTGCCTCTTGACCGGTACTCGTAAGAGGAAGCACATAACTCCTACTCTGGCATCCCTTCACTGGCTCCCTATACATTTTAGAGTTCTTCTTCCCATCCCATTATGTGTTTTCAAATCTTTAAATGGCCTTGCTTCACCTTACCTCTCTGAGGTCCTCCGCCCCGTCACACCTGCTCGGTGCCTCAGGTCTGCGGACAAGACATTAATAGAGGTACCAAGAACTAAGCGGAGGCTCAGAGGGGATCTCGCCTTTTCCATTGCTGGTCCCTCTCTTTAGAATGACCTCCCACTGAACATTCGGCAAGCCCCCTCGCTGCCCATCTTTAAAACTGGTCTCAAAAGTCATTTCTATTCTTTGGCTTTTGACTAGGCATGACTCAGACTTGATTTTTAGTTTTACTGTTTTTGTGCTTTCGACTGTCGTTATTAATTTACTGTTTTATTGTTGTATATATGATATTTTCTCCATGTACAGCACTTTGTATACAGCGGTGGTTGTTATAAATTGTTCTATAAATACAGTTGAGTTGATAATAATTATGATGATTATTATTATTTTATGTTAATTTTTCTGCATCGCGCTTTGTTACAGCTGCAGCTGTTGTGAAAGCATTGTACAAATGAAGGTCTATTGTATTGTATATTTTATGGTAAGCTCTTTATTGGAGTGTCAAATAACAATGAAATGATTTTTTTTTTCAAGATTAAACTTGCATTATTTATCCTTGAGAGGCCTTTGGAATGGGAAAAAATAAGGTCCAAACAAAGCATAATTGACTGAACATGTTAAAAATGTATTTCTTCTTATGAAGCAGGTTATTAGTGATGTTGGATCCATCCATCCATTTTCTAATCCACTCATCATCATGAGGGTTCACGGGCGTGCCAGACAGGAGAGGAATGTTGATGATGGATGAAAACAAGCATGCATACAAATGACCATTTACGGAGTCCAAAAGGATTATTGTGTCAATTTTTTGTCATTGAACGATAAGTTGATTGAGTTACAGGCCTATCATATACCATCGCTGTCTTTCGGCAGTTGGCAGGGGGCACCCCAGACTAGTTACCAGCCAATCGCAGAGCACACAAAGACGAACAACCATTCACACTCTCAATCACACCAAGGGATAAGTTAGGGTGTTTCATGGGTCTGCCATGCATGTTTTTGGAATGTTGTCCAACAACAAGCACATTTGGAATGAGTCGTAAATATGTTTATTATCAAGTTGGGCTGCAACAAACTCATCTTTTTGTAATTTATTAACCTATTGATTTTTCTACAGATTCCTCTGGGAATTTTCCATACCCACCCCCTGCTGGTTAACAGTGTAATCACGCCATGTTGCACTCAAACTCGATCACTCCTTTACATATTCTACATTCAAGATGGCAAGAAGAGTTCTGCTGTTTTTGGAGATGTCGGACAGTCTGCGCCGGTGGGGCTGTATGCATGGCTGGTGGAGCTGAGGATGAGGTGAGAGGAACATGGGCGCGGACGACGGATGTGTATTTGGAATTGAGAGTCGGCGCTCGGAATTGAAGCGGATCTAAATGGGACAGGACAGGAGAATGGAACCAATATCTGCATTCATCAATGGATGCTACGGGTTCTTGTTTACTTTGAACTTGTAGCAGATCTGTGTGACGTCATTCACGCTGTGATCATGATGTACATCATGCATTTAGCGATGGGTTACATCAATATCTTGAGTAAAACTAACCTAGCATTATGTTAAAGGTCAAGTGTGAAATGAATTTGGCCAACCATCTTTTGAGTAATACTTAGGGCTAAAATTATTTCAAGCTTGCGTTTTTAAATTTTTTTTAATGCAACCCATCCAGGTTCATAGTTACACCCATAGCAACACACTTAACAACGAAAATGTTTTTTTCGGCAATCTATGGCGAATGTCATTGTTTACAGAATGCCAAGTCGCCAGTCAGTCTTTTATTTATCCCATATTTTTGTGTACATTATTATAAATTTGTTACTTTTGTATATTTCAATGATTTATTCTATGATGTTAATAGAATTAAATAATTTATTGATTAAATGCTTCTATACACTTATTAATTTCGCTTCCTGTTTGTCTTCATCCTCTTTTCAGAATACAGTAAGTATTCCCACCTACGGACTTTTGTCAAATGGAAATTCACTCACCCAGAATAAAAACCTATGCATTAAAATTTCGTCGACGATATTACATGAACGATCGATTCATAACAACGCAAGTTCCAGTACCCGGAAGCCATACGGAAGCCCGTAGTAGCGCAAACTGGATACTACCGAATAACTCTGTCCGCACCGCTATTTACTCTCTCATTGGTTCCAAAACGGCGACATCTAAGTGACTCAATTGGCATGCGTTTTACTGGAATCGCGAACTATTTATTTTTTTCATTCATTTACATTTATGTCCTGTAGATCATGGCATTCAAATGAAGAGGACCAGTAATGACCGTGGAAGAGAGAGTGGAATGCATCCGATTAGCTGCTCAGAGTAAATTACTTGTGGCTCGACGGACAGTCGGGTAAAGGAATGTTTCCTGGAATGCTTTACCTGTTATGGTGCTAAAAACACTCCGCAAACTGGACCACTAATTAGAGAGAAGGCGAGTCAACTATGGGCATCGAAGACTTCGAAGCGTCCCGTGGCTGGCTTCAAAAGTTCGTTGCACGGCATCAGCTGAGCAACGCTGTCTTGTGTGGTGATCGAGGGAAGGTCAAGTTAGAGACAGTGAGTGAGTGGAAAGAAAAGCCACCAGCTCTGTTACTAGTCTCATTTTGTAGCAAATAGGAGGTCCTCCTCCCCAACCCTGATCCGATACCAAGTAATACCTGGGCTAAATATCAAAAGACTGATCAGATATCAATACCGGAAGTGATTTTCTTTTTTCCAAACAAAAGCTGCGAACAAAACTGCATGTGCGCTGTCACTGCGCTCACAATAATGAGGGCACATCATTAATTGAACCAACACAACAATGAGGGCACATCATTAATTGAACCAAACCACTTCAAAGTATTTTGTTACTTTGTCAACAGTGGCGTTCGGAGCCTACGAGATGTGGGCCTTCACCCAGATCTAAAATATGAATAGATTAATAAAATGCCAGAGCAACCTTTCATGCTGCCCTTGAGCCCACCTGTGAATGCACTGTAAGGAGGACGCAAATATTTTGACACATATACAAGAACTCAATTGGAGACAAACGCTTCGGTAATTCAACGCACTTCAACACAAACATCAGCTGATCAACACAACAGTGCTGACTGAACACAAACTTGTTTACAAGTACTGTATTTTCCGCACTATAAGGCACACTTAAGAGTATTCAATTTCCTCAAAAGCCGACAGTGCGTCCTATAATCCGATGCGACCTATTTATGGATCAATATTCTGATTGCTTGGACGAAGTATTTTAAACTTTAACTTTTTTACAGCTGCAGCAGTTGTGAAAGCGCAATATGAATAAAGCTGTATTGTATTGTATTCCCTTTAGCAAAGCTCCATCTAGTGGATGCATAATGCAACCGCAGCCACTATTGTAGATTCTATTCTATGCGCCTTATAATGCGGTGTACCCTATATCTGAAAACAGTTTTTAAATAGGCCATTCACCGAATGTGCGCCTTATATTCTAAAGCACCGTACAGTGTGGAAAATACGACAGTTTACTAATCGGAGCTATCCAATGGAATTAGCACTGGGAGAAATGAGGACTGAGTTGTCATCACTGTATCAACACATAAATTAGCAAAAATCAACGGAGACTAACATTTAGGTGGTGTCACACTTCAGTGTTAAATCTAGGCAGTGCAGGTGTTCTTTTTCTGTTCTTTGGTTATTTAACCTGGTATGAACTTTGCTTTTCACCAATAAAATGTAGAGCATTCTATTACAAAGCATATTCAACAGAGCAAACTTTTTATGTAAGATGACAAAAAAACTGTCCCGGCATATTTATGGTTTAAAATTAGGATGAATTGTATTGTATTGTTTCACATTCCACATCAACCACAGATGCTGATGTCGTTTGCACCCGTGTTACTTGGATCTGCCATGCATTTTTTTAAACGCCGCTTTTAAGGTACTTTACTTCGGATTGGCTGGAGGCCGTTCTCTCGTGTCCCCCTTGGCTTGTGCAGCACTTTGCTCCATTAACTCTTTGTGCATTGTCAAATGTTTTGTTCGGTTGGTGGTATTGCCACAACGATTGTCAGTCTTGTCACACACTCCACATCTTGCCTCATTGTTGTTTAGTAAGCAAAAATACCTCCAAACCAAAATTTTCTTTCACACTTAAGGATGCCCCTGCCATGCTTTCATGTGTTTATGTCTGTTGGTGGAGGGCGGAGGAAAAGCGTGCTCTGCATGCGTTTGTGACGTAAAAGTGGGTGGGAGCTAATGTGTGTGTGCAGAAGGAGGAAGAAAAAAGTAGTTTGTCTACAGAAAAATACACTCTGCTACTATGCTACAGTGAAACTCCTCTACAATGAAACCTACATGGGCGAAAATACACCCGAAGGTGAAAAAATGTTCATGCATGAAAGCCATTCCCACTTTTCTGCTCCCTATACGACGAAAAATCCCCCTGTTCCGTTATAGGAAATCTTTTTCTCTGCTCTTGCCTCGCAACGAGATTCACTACAACGAAAACAAGCCTTCCGCAAAAGTCTTATCCAACAGCGACCTCTACTGCTTCGTTCAGAAACGGCAACAGCAACCACCCCACTTGTTTACACATGCGCAGAAGTCCAGGAAGTATTTGTTATTGTTAGTTTCAGACGCAGCAAGTACGTTGCCTTGCTAAAATGGCTACAAAACGGATGTCAAGCAGCTAAGACAAGAAGAGCTCTGACGCTGGAAGAGAGGGTAAAAGTGATCAAAATGAAAGACGGAGGAAGCAAAATAAAATACATTATCCAAGAAATCGAGAAGTGTTGGGAAGCAAAAGACTATGAATGACTTTTTAAAACCAACAGGCAAAGTGGAGTGATTAATATAAAACAATTGTTATGTTAATGTTAAACAATATCAAAAAAGTGTATGCTTTTATGCACTATGTACAGTATTAGAATTAATAAAGAGAACACATATACATTGTGTGTGTGTGTGTGTGTGTGTGTGTGTGTGTGTGTGTGTTTACATCTGAGATCAAATTTGCTTCAGTGAAAAACCCCGTTGTGAAAAATTTCTTGCTGCAAACATGATTTCGTGGTCGAGGAGTTTCACTGTATCCAATTTTGTAAATAATAGTATAAGACAATAAAGCTGTATTTTGCTGCTGTCAAACTGTTGAAGCCTACTTGGATGAGAGGTGAAAAAAAAGCAGTCGAGCTGCGCTGGAAACACTGGCCTGAGAATAAAATGGATGAATGAGAATATCCACAAGCAACATGGCTGCATTTGTGATCAATTCTACCCTTTTACCTCTGTATTGAAGCTTATGGACTCTGTTGTTTGGGCAGTCTTTTCCTTGCAAGCTGAAGTTAATGTTGGTGCGGATGCAGCGGTTGATCAGCGGCTGAATTGGACGGACATTGTCACTCATGCTCAGGAAGATCTGAGATGGCTGGTTCTGGCTCAGGAGGCGCAAAGAGTGCATCTGAGAAAGAGAAGTGGGGGTTAAAAATGTTTGACATGAAAATGTCTGTCAGGCTAATTTTATTAAAATAATGGCCAAAGTCATATTTTGCCAAATATATTTCTCCTCAGGATGCTGGCCATTACTGATCAAATGGGCGACATCATTCAATTTTACCACTGAAATGAAATGTTTACCAAGTAAAATGTCAATATTTGGTTATGGTTTTTTGTGTCTTCTGGAAAAAAAAATTGAGTTTGGCCATTATTTAATGAAGGCAACAAAATATTTTGCTGGATAAGCTGGATAAACTGCGACATGCCCGTGACCCTTTTTCAGTGTAAGCGGTTCAGAAAATGAATGGATGGATGGTATTTCAAGTTAATACATATTCAGCTAATGAGAGACCAATTTTGAAGAAAAAAAAACAAAAAAGCTAGCTTTTATTTAAAGGTCGCTCAGGGCCTTTGATGTCATTTGCGTTTTCATCGCAACTCAATTTCCTCATTCTGCATAAGCTGTGTGGTGTAATTGACACCTGTATTTAAGATCTGGATGTTTTTCGACAATAACCAATTTTTATTTTGGCAAGGTCATCAGTGCGAACCTGTCTCCATTTCTGAACTCTACTTGACTAATTTAGGCTCACCTGCATGCGTGTGACGTACACGGGCTTGTTCATCAGGATCCACGTGGCAGTCTCAAAACATGGAGGGATGGTCATTGAGCCATCATAAGTGATAAAACTACTTGTTTCTGGATAGATCTCCTCTATGTTTAGTCCTGTCAGGAGATAAGCATCGTCTGCATTGAAAGAAGTAATCAGAAGACAAGAAGAGCATCGTTAATGGTTCATTACCAAACAAGTACGCTGACAAGCTAAAACATTTCTATTTTCCATTTTCTGTACCACTTATCCTGATATGGGTTGCGGGTGTGATGGAGCCTTTTCCAGCTGACTTTGGGCAAGATGTGGGTTACACCCTGAACTGGTTTTAAGCCAATCACAAGGCACATGCTGACAAACAACCATTCACACTCTCGTTCACACCTTTGGACAATTTATAGTGTTCAGTTTATTAACTTACCATGCATGTTTTTGGGAAGGTGAAAGGAAACCCGGATATACGATATTGTATTGTGGCACTGTTTGACTGATACTGACAGACAGATAATTAGGGCCCGAGGGCCCACTTATTGTAATTAAATAAATCCTTTTTTTAGGGTTCAAGCAGCTACATCTGCAAGGTCCCCATTGTTTTTGTAGAAATTACTCTTATTATTATTATCCATCCATTTTCTGATCTGCTTTATCCTCACAAGGATCGTGGGGGGTGCTGGAGCCTATCCCAGCTGTCTTCGGGCAGTAGGCGGGGGACACCCCGAACCGGTTGCCAGCCAATCACAGGGCACACAGAGACGAACAACCATCCAGGCTCACACTCACACCAAGGGACAATTTCGAGTGTTCAATCAGCCTGTGATGAGGACGCAGTTAAAAGTTAAATGACCGTCATTTTTATTCTTTATTCTTTGTTTTTTACATTATGCACAGCTCTCATTTTTTGCGCAATAATCTCATTGTAACATGTATTTGTGACATATTTTGATGCATTTTTATGATTTAGAAAAGATTTATGTCAGAATTTGGGGGGGGGGGCCTTGGAACTGATTAGGGCATTTACATGCAAAAAACAAAAATCTTCCAGAACGAATTAATTTTGACAGTAGAAGTACCACTGCATTTTAGGAAGTCCAATATTATAGAGTGTGACTTTCCTTATTAAAAAACCCTAGCAATTTTTTGTGGTGGGGATGCTGGAACAAATTAATGGGCTTTCCATTAATTTCAGTTAGATATGCGTCTTTTGAGTCATGAGTGTGGTCATGAAATGAATTCAACACTTATCTAAAGGCGCCACTGCACTTTGCAGCTGAACGATCCTCCTGTCACATCCACAGTAAACCTTCCAGCTCTAGAAATCTTGTAATATCTTACCGATCGACTACTGGAGAAGTCAAAGAATCACTTTGAATTCAAGTAACAATGAAAGAGAATCAAATGAAAGGAAATAATGATTTTAAAATATCTCAGAAAAGCAAGCATCTTCAATCGAATAATGCAGTTGACTATGTGAAGACAAACAACGACTTACTTTTATATGTTACTCTTGTGATGCTGTCTCTATTCAGCAATTGATTCAGGAAATTGTTAGATGTTTCAGCTACCTGGATTAGAAAAAAAACAGAAATAGAGAGGAAAAAGTAGTTAACGAATAGCACCAATTTTCACTTTATTACGTATTTTATTATGACAAGTGCAATGATTCAACTGCAAAATTAATGCATCTCAGAATCATCTTTGGGGGAGTGTTTGGTGAATGTGTGTGTGTGTGTGTGTGTGTGTGTGTGTGTGTGTGCGTGTGTGTAGTGTGTGTATGCTTTGGCTTTTGACTCAGCACGAGACCTGATTTTGTTTTAGTGTTTTGTGTTGTTTACAGTTTTTACGTTATTGATTGTATAAATCCGTCTTTATTATTTTTGCGCCGTGTACATCGCTTTGTATGCGTCAGTAGTTGTTTTAGAGTGCTCACTAAATACAGTTGAGTCAAATTGAAATGGCCTGATGTCTTTCACTATTTAAGCACAGGTTGTTTGGTTCCACTTTGTCAGAACATCAAGCTTTCTTCTATGCCTTCTGCATCAAGCCCTGCTCTTGGCGGAGTTGAAGCAATTCTGCGAAGAAGAGTGGGCCAAAATTCCTCCACAGCAATGTGAAAGACTGATCACCAATTATCACAAATGCTCGATTTCAGTTATTGCTGACACGGGTGGCACAACCCATTCATAGTTGAAGGAGGCGATTACTTTTTCACATCAGAACAGACATGTTAGAATTTTTTTGGTGCCTTAAAACATAAATTGGCATTTAGAAACGGCATTTTGTATTTCCTTAGGTTGCCTCTGTGTGATGTTAAAATTGGTTGAATGAACTGAAACCTTTGTGTGTGATAAATAATGCAAAGAACACAGAAATCAGGAAGGGGGCAAGTATTTTTCCATAGCACTGTAAATACAAAGCACCTACAGAGAGCAGGGGCTGGATGCAGAAGACACAGAAGAGAGCTGACACTGACAGGGGAAATCTCGACATACTGTCCAGGTGAGACTGATTAACTCGGGCTTATATACCGTGAGACATTAAGCCGACTGTATATGAAAGAATAAAGGGCCTCGGCAACTGCATAGCAACTGTAACATCAAGGGACAAAGAGTCACAACATACAATCTACCTTTGGAGGCATTTGGGATATATTAAACCGGAATCTGAGACTCACTTTCATGAATATGGACACAACGACGAGTCCATTGGGACTCTTGGCAGCTTCGGTGTAATTTGTATACAACTCGTGATTGTAGTGAATCAGCTGAACCTGAAAAAGAGTGTGAGAGAGAGAATACATGCGTGAATAGTAAACCACTACTGATTGAGATTTTATGAAATGATAAATCACTTTCTCAGGGCAATAAATCAAGTGCAACAGGACTGTTTGGTTGAAGATGTTTCGGCTCTCATCTGAGAAGGCTTCAGCAGTTCATGCAAGAAGGCTTGGTTATGGCAGCACTAGCCTAACATTGGTGCAGTTCAAACCAAGTCAGTTTAATATTGGTGCGGACCTAAACAAGCCTGGTTGGATGAACTGATGAGCCCATTCGGATGAGCGGCTAAATGTCTTCTAAGACAAACCGGGCAGTCCATTTTCGATTCAATACCCCTGAGCATGAAATGACCAGAATGTATGAGAATTTCCACAAGCATGTTTCTGAACATTTTATGTTTGGCAACCCTCAAAATGATGCCAGTATACAAAAAGACTGATCGGTAAATTGCAGACCACCAGGAGCAACTCACTTTTAATCTGAGATCCAGACAAAACAGCCTTACAACCTACTGTATGCCGAGGCTCTACCAAGAAAAAAAATCAGGACAGGAGAAATACAGAAAAAGGCACAAAAACAAATGAATGAGGGTAACTTTTTATCATTGAAAGCCTCGAGGTTAAAAAAGAGATTGTTCCTAAAATTCCCTAATCTTCTGCTGGTCTGTGAAAACAGATGGTATTTTGCAAAAATAAAGCTGTATTGTATTGTATTGTATTGTATTCCAGTTAGTGTAGCTCCATCTAGTGGATGCATGCACAACCACATCCACTATTGTAGGTGCGCCTGATAATTCGAAGGGCCTTAGTGTGCAGAAAATATGGTCAGTACTTTCACAACTGAGGCCCAGCTTGCTCAGCACAAAACCAAAGCTTGACAAATAAAGTTTCAGAAATGAGACACAACTCCTCCACTTCTCAGTAGCTCGCTCAGGGGCAAAAAAAGTGGGAACTAAGCTAATGATGAAATACACAATACAATGGTTAAAAAAATGTTAGATAGAGCATCCCTCGCTGCATGACCTTTGTGTGACCCTTTCCAACTGACTTCTAAAATGGAGACTGTCCCAAAGAAAAGGAATATTGATGGCCATTGCCTTCTGGACAAGTGGAAATTGGCATGTTTGTTCACAGAAAAACAAAACAACCGTCTTCCTGCAGCTGTTTTCAAGAATTTATTATCAAGTGGCACTCTCAGACGAAATATGCTAATTTTGAAGAAATGATGGCAGCATGGTGGTCAACTGATCATGGGTTCGATCCCGGCTCCGGCCTCTCCCTAATTAATGGTTTCCACCTGCTTCGTCCCACTGTCGCTTCGCGGAGCAAAAAGCTGTCACGGAGTGCCGGGATTTGCAGCTCTGCTTGGCTCTCGACGAAGGCGGACGCTTTTTTGCTCTGCTCCTGTCCCTCCCCCCCTTCCCCTTGCTCGCCACTCAGTCTATGTGCTGTCCTTGTGCTGTCTTTTCCTAGCCTCCGCCGTATTTTCATCCTAAAAACAAACCATGGAATTGGTTGGCTGGTCTCTCGATGCAATCGACAAAATTTTTTCGACGAAAAGAGCAGGCAGTGGTGAGCCTACTTGCCCCTCTGGGACATTTGCTGCCGGGTACGCCCTAGATCCACGGAGCAAGTGGAGAATGGTGTGCCTGTCAATACTGTCCGTTGAGGATGTGGAAGACATCTACACTATCGGCCTTCTGATAGCAGGTATGCTGCTGTTTGGTGTTAGCAGTTTCCTGATCTATCGTAAAATTCAACCGACGGGAGGGGCCTTATTGGAAGTGAAGAAGCTGCCGGTCTTTTTGGGACGGCACGGCACGGATGTACAACACTCAGACTCAAGCGATGACTGAGCTCAACCGCAAAATGGATGCAGTTTTGGAGCGTCTCCGTATGATGGTTATCAACTTGGAGAAGTTGAATCTGCGCTTCGGAAAGAAATTGCGGATTTGGCTGATCGGTGCCAGTGAAGGGATACAGCCACGGACTCAAGGCCACCTGAAATTGTTGGCGGCCGTCCCTCCAAAACAAACAACGCTATTTGGATCCTTCCCCCTGGATGGAAGTATGCACGGAAGCTAGTGCCCCCACCATCACCCCCTCCTTCTCGGCCATGGACTGATAAGCCGGGACTGTCTCCATGAGCAGACCTTGACGAAGCAGCGGCGGCCCGATACGCACACACAACCAGACTATCACACACGCATACACACCCTTGGAATCACCGCCTTTATTGTTCATTATATGTTATGTCTTGTGACTTGTTGTAACTGTCATAAGCTTGTTAAATGTGCTTGGGTATTTTTTTTCTCCTAGAACTCTAATTATCCTCAGAAGAGTATCGTTCGAGCGTGTTTTTTTTTTTACCCCTCCCCTCCTCTAGTGGTTTCCTTTCTCAACTCAACTCAACTCAACTGTATTTATAGAGCACTTTCAAACAGCCATCGCTGCATACAAAGTGCTGTACATGGAGCAATTTAACATATACAACAAACAGTAAAGCAAATCGGTGAGAGGGACCAGCAACAGAAAAGGCTCGATCCCCTCTGAGCTTCAGTTTAGTTCTTGGTACTTCTAATAATGTCTGGTCCGCAGAACTGAGGTGCCGGGCAGGTGTGTAGGGGCGGATGAGCTCAGAAAGGTAAGGTGGCGCGAGGTCATTTAGAGATTTGAAAACAAATAAGAGGATCTTGAAAATAACTCTAAAATGTATGGGGAGCCAGTGAAGGGATGCCAGAAAGCTTTTCAATGAAAAGAAGATAAAGCTTTCTAACTAAGATCTCGGGGCGCTTTACAGCGAGTACCGACAGGCCCTTTGCACTGTATCCCATGTTCGTCATTGTTTTTCATGTTTCTTGTGCGGAGCGTGCCTGTTAAGTGATATCTCGTTGCACGAAAGTGTAATGACAATCAAGATTCATTCATTCGAAATGGCGCAAAATTCCAAAAAAAAGTCAAAATGACGGACTTCCTATTAAGCTTAGCATATGGCTCCAAAATATTTTTTGTAGGTTTGTGGCATATGCATATGCAATGCGCTGTTTACCACGAAAACAACTACTGTACTTTAGAGGATCTACACATGCAGGAAAACTCATGAAATTACGTCATGCTGGCCACAACATCAATATTTTATTAGGATAATGTACGATTATTATTTTTTTGTGTGTGTAAACGACTCAACAAAGCCCCCAGCAAATTTTCAGCGAAGCCTCCCTTGGGGCACGTGTCACAATATCGGCCAACAAAAAAACTCCCTTGTAGCCACATTTTGAATTTTTTTTGGACCCATTTTGGGCCTTTTGTAGAGGTCACATTTGAAAAATGTTCTCCTAGAGACTTTATCTTATTGTCTTGAAACTTGAAAGCTATTTCACCCTAAGATGTTCAGGACGAACAGGAAAAGGAAAGCTTTTTATTTTGCCGAACGCTGTTATTGTGGGGATGCGCTGTTTGCCAAGAAAAATGACGCAGCTTGTGATGGTCTTAACATTTGTGAAAAATATTTGACACTTGCTGCACACATCACGTTTGGCAAAATAACTATTTTAGGAGTTCATTTTGTGGTTACAAAAAAGGCACCCTCTACAAAATTTTAACGATACAGCCCTGATTGAACATCTCACTAAAACCTACCAAAAGTTGTAACAGCCCAAGACGTAAAAAAAAAAAAAAAAAAAAAAAAATCTCAGGAGCCCTACTCAAAACTGAAAAGCAAGTCGGCCATTTTTAACTCATTCAATCCCAGCCATTTTCACTGGAGCAACCCCCTTAATCCCAGCGTTTTACTGGATTTTGAGTGATCTTGAAGGCCCACAGAATATTGTTCTAATGCTATATAAACATGGAAACCCAGCCGCTGGGGGGCAGTGCCCTCCCCTGGGGGTGCACTGTTCCCCAGTGCCGGTCCCAAGCCCGGAGAAATGGGGAGGGTTGCGTCAGGAATGGCATCCGGCGTAAAACTTTTGCCAAGACGACCATGCGAGTTGGTAGGACGGTTTACAGGGGCGGATGGAAATTACTGACTCGCTGTGGCGACCCCTGAATAGGGACGTGCCGAAAGGAGAAGAAGAAGAAGAAGCTATATAAACATGGAGCCGACCAAAATAAAGTTTGGACTCTCTTCTTTCAGCAGAAAAAAAGTTTGTTTCTATCTTTTTCCATTCTTCAGCAATCTGCATTACAAAATGGCTAAGTTTCATGGAAATGGCGATTCCTGGGCAAAAAACTGAGAAAAAGAGCTTTTTGTAAAAGCATGCATTTCGATCACGTGAGGCACCACTGCCACCTACTGGTCGCTTTTTTACATGATTTACAATGCAAACGGCTTATTCTCATTCACAGATTGGATCAGACCCTCCTCCTCTCGATGACGCAAAAAAAGACTTAGATGTACAAGTACGTCCTTGGTAGGCGGGGCCTAATTTTAAAAAGATGCATAGTACGTCTTGTGGAATGAAAGAGTTAATTTCCTTTAAAATTTTTGGCCCTTCATAGAGGTCATATTTTATCAAAACAGCTTTTAACGCTTTCATGCACCCTGTAACCTGATAACATGGTAAACTGTCCACTGTAGTAACCGCTGTCCCTCAAAGGGTAAATATGATGTACTTCATTTTCAAAAAATACCAATTCCACTGTGTCACTACCCCAACATTGTCAGGGCCCTTTATCGCAGCTCACAGCTCTTGTTCTTTATTTATTTCATTTGTTTGCTTAAATAAATTGCTCACCAAACTTTGCACACTGATCGACCCTTTAATATTTTAAAGTTTGCACATTTTCAGGGGTCATACTTTTGCACCCTTGTCCTAGTGGATTCACCGTATTGGCTTCAAACTTCTTCAAAACTATCTTAAAACCTGAAACAACAACAGGAGAAACAATGTTGAGTTTTTTGAAACACTCAATGACGGGGGCGGAGCATCAAAATTTGTGTTTAATAATTCTTTTGACACAAAAGAGGAAATCCTTTTTCAGTCTGCACATATAGCGTCACCTAGTGATGAATACAAATGTAATTTTTAGGTTTTAATGTACTGCATGAAGCACGTTAAATGAACCCAACTGAAAATTTATCAGAAAAGTCTCGAGAAGGTGATCATGATCTGCGCGGAATGTTGTGACTTTTCGGCAAAGGGCGTGGCCATTACGGTGCCGCAAATTCCGATGATTCAACGTCAAAGTAATATTACCTCGGTACATCATCAGCATTAAACATAGGCAGTTTTACAGGGTGGAAATATTGAATGATTCATTTATGTCGCTGTAGTATGTTGAACATTCTGGTCATTTGTGTGTGGAAAGGTACTGGATAAGGGTCTGTGTTTTTGGAGGTACATTGTCCTTAAAACTCATTCACTCCCAAAGACGTTTTTAAACGTCTTTTCAGACTTGGTCCAGAATTGGCTCGTGAGTTAATGATTTTGTCTTCAAACATTTATTTCAGGAGGTATTTTCTGTATTTGATTAGTAACTCGTTTGGGTTTCTTCACCCTCTTTATTTTTTTTATTTTTTTACAATCGGCATGTGTATCAGCTCACCAAACCTTGTGCATTTTAGCTTGACATAAAAAAAAAAAAAAAAAAAAAAATCCAGTTTCAGACATCCCATTCACAGACGCCACACAATGTACACACGTTGCACTCACCTCTCCAGAGAAAGCCTGGCCATTCAGCAGGTGTTCAGAGCCCTGACTGTCTTCACTACCAAAGTGGAGTCGAATCTCCTCCAGACGATGGCTGTACATCATAGGCCCGCCGGAGATATTAACCAGATGCTCCTTGTCCAGTCGCACAGAAACATGGCGACCGGTGTTATACATTGTCCCCCTCATCTAATGAATGGAAAAGGAGTTGATTGGAGGGGGAGGGGGGGGGGGAACCAGTCTCATCTAATGAATGGAAAAGGAGTTGATTGGAGGGGTGACCAGTCAGAAATATGAATAACGTGAAAATTTTGATTTCAAAATATTGTGTAAACAAGAGATTGTATTTCAGCATGTCTGAAAGATCATATTACAAAATATAACGTAATGACATTTTGAAATGGGGTATCTATGGTTCATCTCCCTTTGACAAGAGTTATTCGTGGATTGTGTCAGTGTCAGTAAACTTTTAGTTTGCCTATTACAACCAAAAATGCCCTAACTGTAACTGGTCGAGACAGTAGTTGTAGTCGAGACGGTGAGCCAATTACATGTTGCTGTATCTGAACAAGACTTGCACCGACTGATCTGGTGGACCACCTACTTGGAGGTGCTGCTGTAGTGATTTCTGCATTGACAAACCAGGCTGGGATTTGAGGCGCACCCAACCTCTTCAAAAGTGTCTTCCTGCAACATTTCCTCAATTAAATGGGCTCTTACATTATTCTAACTAACATTAAATGTTGCCCGTTCAACGTCCATTGCAGCATGTTCATACTGGAAGGGGGAATTACCTAACTGTGGCCCCTCCTCCAGATTTATCATTTTCCCTTGTTGTTTATTGAAACAGGATTATATCAATATGTTTGATTTGACTTGACTAGACTTGAATTTTTCGGCTTTTATTTTGAAAATGCGGGCAGCACAGCGGGCGACTGGTTAGCACACCGGCCTCACAGTGTAGAGGTGCAGGGTTTGATTCCGGTTCCGCTTTCCTGTGAGGAGTTTACATATTCTCCCCGTGCTAGTGTGGGTTTTCTCCGGGTACTCCGGTTTCCTCCCATGTTCCAAAAACATACATGGCAGGTTAATGGGAAACTCCAAATTGTCCCTATGTGTGATTGTGAGTGCGAATGCTGTTTTTCTCTGTGTGCCCTGCGATTAGCTGAGTGTTTTTATTTTAGTTTTTTAGCTAAACCATTGCTTCTGTCGGCATTAGGTCCTCTCTTCATCACCGCTGTGTCTGTGCACTTAAACAAGCTGTACAGATTCCATTTTGTTTAAACAAGCGTTGCTTCTTCCAAAGTAGCTTTAGCTGCATCTCGGCTTGGCTCTTAGTGGCTCTCATTCACCCTAAAGGGAGACATAACATGGCGATTGCAAGGGCTGCTTTTATGGCACAATTCGTCCATTAAGTTGGAGGAGAAATGAGGTGAAGGTGAAGAGCAGACAAACGGACAGGAAGAGGGATGGGTGCTTGGCAACGAGAGCCGAAAAAGAAAAAGTGAACAGTGAACAGCGATGAATACACCCGTACCTTTTTTCCATCAGTGTTTAGTTTCATAGATGTGAGGTAAGGGTCAAAGATCATGTGACTGGTCTCAATGTTGACCGGTGATTGCCTTTTCCCCACTGAGCACAAGTTCCAAGCTGAGTTTACCAGGCCCCAGAAAGAAGGCACTGCAACACAAAAACAGCAATTGTGTCAAAATCCTGTTATTATTCAAAAGAGAAGCCATTGAGGTGGAAAAACAAAATGTCTTTGCTGAAAGCACTGAATGACTGTCGTGAATGGTGTATGTATCTTGGTATGGGTTAACATCCTTTGGAATGTATCACGGGCCATTAGTCTTAGACCTCCGATTCTGATTCTGTCATCGGTTCATTTGGCAGAATTTCCTCAGAGTTACCTACAACCCGCGTAATTGGACGAAAGTTATTGAACAACAAAAACAAAATTATATTACATGTTGTTCATTTTCAGACAAGGGCTCTGGAGATTTTTTTTTTTTTTGCACCTCTGTCATGATTATAAAAACACCAGAGATTCTGAGCATTTTGTTTTTTTTTTTTTCAATTTTTTTTTAAATGACACACTTGTTTGGTTTCAGAATGCCTGCAACTCTATGGTCAGGCTCTCTATTTTTTAAATATTGGTTATGCTGTACGTTCTCTAATTTAAAGTACAGCTAATTTGAAACCGTTTTATGAGGTAAATTAAGGTTTAGAAGGAAAAATCAAGAAAATGAACTAAACTCTTCCATTGAATGTACTGTAGAATTAATAAGAAAAATTGGATGCATTTATAATGTTTTTGTATGTTGTTCTTGAGCTGACCAGCAGGTTAACGCCACGGCTCCCCTTAACTGACACCACTGGTAATTGCCCAAATCAAACCAGCCACTCAAGATTCCAAGACAGTATATTTCTGGTGATAGTCTCAGGCCGAGGTAAATGGTGAAAGTTACATCAGGAAAGGCATCTGGAATAAAACATAATCTAAAACCAGCGGAAATCAGGAATCATGAACTTGACTTCCATACATGGATTGGTTGGTGCATGGGTTATTAATGACAGTAAACAGTGTTGGTGACCTACAGCAGGGCTATTCAACTACATCAGAAAGAAAAAAAGTTCAGGTCCAAGGACCGCACATGCTGGCACACAATACTAATTTGAGATGACTGACCGCATTTTAATTAATTTATTTATTTCTCAACTACATTTCCCTTGCTGGCGGCACGGTAGTTGACTGGTTAGCACGTCTGCCTCACAGTGCAGGTGCAGGGTTCGATTCTGGCTTCGGACTTCCTGTGTGGAATTTGCATGTTCTCATCGTGCCTGTGTGGGTTTTCTCCGGGTACTTTGGTTTCCTCCCACACCCCCCTCACCCCCCCAAAAAAAAACATGCACCATAGGTTGATTGAACACTCTAATTTGTTCCTAGGTGTGATTGTGAGCGGAATTTGCATGTTCTCATCGTGCCTGTGTGGGTTTTCTCCGGGTACTTTGGTTTCCTCCAACACCACCCTCCCCCCCCAAAAAAAAACATGCACCATAGGTTAATTGAACACTCTAATTTGTTCCGAGGTGTGATTATGAGCACAAATGGATGTTTGTCTATGTATGCCCTGCCATTGGCTGCCGACTAGTTCAGGGTGTCTCCCGCCTATTTCCCAAAAACAGCTGGCATAGGCACCAGCACGTCATTAAAAAAATGGATGGATGGATTCCCCATGCTAAACCACACCATCTCAGTCAGTAATACAGTGAAACTCCTCTACAACGAAACCTACATAGGCGAAAATACCCCCTAGTGTGAAAAAAAAATCTTCATACATTAACACCATTCCCACTTTCCTGCCCCCATACAACAAAAAAAAACCCTGTTGCGTTATACGAAATCTTTTTCTCTGCTCTTGCCTCGCGATGAGATTCACTACAACAAAGTCTAATCCAACAGCGACCTCTACTGCTTCGTTCGGAAACGGCAACAGCAACCACCACACTGGTTTACACATGCACAGTAGTCCAGGAAGTATTAGTTATTGTTCGTTTCAGACGCAGCAAGAATGTTGCATTGCTAAAATTGCTTCAAAACAGACCTTTGGATGTCAAACAGCTAAGACAAGAAGAGCTCTGATGCTGGAAGAGAGGGTAAAAGTGATCAAAATGAAAGACGGAGGAAACAAAATAAGACATTGTCCAAGAAATTGATGTAAGTGAAAGTGAATGCTGATCGTAAATTTCGCAATTTCTTTCCCTTTTTTTCTTTCTACACTGACTACATGAAGTGTCAAATAAGTGTATGCTCATACTTATGCACTATTGGAATAAAAATAAAGAGTACACATACGTTTGTGTGTGCGCGTGTGCTACAGTGAAAAACCCCCTGTTGTGAAAAATTTCTTGCTGCAAAAATGATTTCATTGTAGGGGAGTTTCACTGTAGTCTGTCACCGCGCTCTGTGGATATATCAACAAGTAATTTATGTCAGTGCTGAAAACTGGAAGATGATCTGATAAAACTTGTAATGGACATCACAGAGTCCATTACATTTTTCAACTGGCCACCGAGTTGAACACATGGTCCAGATTGAGTCTGTTGTGTTAAAAAAAAAAAGTCAATGGTCATTTCAAATATAATTTCTCAGGTTGCTTGATCCTTCCACTGGTAACAAGCCGAGGATGTCTTGAAAGAAATTACCATGAAAACAAAAAAATCACCAAGTTAGCAGTGTCACAGTTGTCCATAGATTTGCCTTTGTTGCATTCTATGGTGAAGCACAACAACAAGTGAAAATAAATCGACTTCACTCCTAGCTCGTCTTTTTTTCCTGTTTTTTTGCCCTACTGTTTTTTTTATTTTTCATGTGTTATGTATCCGAACCCAGGGGTCGAAGCTTAATAAAAGATGGGGTGGTTTGTTTGAACGTGCCTCAGCAGGTAATTTTCCGCATTCAACTGGCTACAAAGAAAACACATGGGCTTCTCATCAGCATTCTCTGTGAATGCAAATTTTTGTTGCTTAAACTGTTAAAAATCCACTGATGGTCTTTGGCCAAGAGTCGACAGTGCCGTGTTTGTTTGAATGACAGCCCTCTAAATAGAAAGGGCAGCACAATGAATCTATTGCTTCATTGTGATGAAATGCTTGACTGAGAAGCAAAAGCATGATTTCCATGTTTCATTCTCTAGAGTCGGAAAAACATGTGTGGCAACACTCTAAATTGTCCCAAGGTGTGAGTGTGGATGGTTGTTTGTCTATGTGTGCCCCGCGATTGGTACCCCGCCTGCTGCCTGAAGACAGCTAGGACAGACCCAACACGCCCCGCAGCGCTTGTGAGGATAAGCAGAATAGAAAATGGATGGATATTTATTTTTGAATTATTGCTTGAATACACTTTGTCACGTGAGGAGTGGAATTTAGACCCAGAAGCAGACATGACACAAGTAAAAGTTATCAATGAAAATAAAAAGTACAGAGAGCAAGGATGGATGCAGAAGACACAGATGAGAACTGACACTGAGAGAAAAGTCGATGTACGGACGTATCACTGAGCAATCAGAGTTTATACCCTGTGAGACATTAAGCCAGGATGACAGAATAAAGGACCAGATCATAAAAGAGCCACAGCAACTGCAGGGCAACGGAAATATTAATGAGGAACAAACAATCAGAACAACCCCGCTTGTGAAGCAGCTCCCGGTGGAAATTCAAAATCAGTGTCAAAATCAGAATGCAAAGGTGCAAAAGATAAACGAGAATGCTCAATAAACAGAAGTCCAAAACAACATGAAACAATGTAACTAAACACTAGGCAGCCAGCTTGATTTGGAATGAGACATCAAAGAAACAGCAGTTAGACGTAACAAAGTCAATGAAACAACAATGATGAAAGAAAGCAAGGAACTAGGCACAAACAAACTGACAAGACAACAAGGAACACCTGGACAAGGCAATAAGTAGGAGAGGGAGTTGGTTAGGTAACACAAGGGATCAAGTAAACGAGCAAAGGTGTGCACAATAACCTCAAGCCACAAACAAAAGAACACAAGGAAAATGTGAAACTAAAGAGTAAATCAAAACCAGAATCAAAGATGGATTGGGGAAGGCCAGACGAGAGGTTGTTGGCAGGTTCAGACGGCAGCTGCAAGACATGTGCCACTGGAACAGGATTAGAGGATGATCAGATGGCGGCTGTAGCCCTTGCGCCGCCAGAGTAAAATTTGAGGTCGGCCGCTGAGGTTGTGCCACCGTAGAAGACTCAGAGGGCAGCTGCAGGGCTCGTGCTGCCGGAACAAGATCAGAGAGCGGCCACCGGAGCATGGTCGGAGGGTGGCTGCAGGGCTTGCGCTGCCAGAGAAGGTTTGGAGGACGGCTGTAGGGGTCACGCCCCCGGACAAGGATTGGTGGGTGGCCGTCGGGCATGCGCTGCCAGAGCAGGTTTGAAGGGCAGCGGAAAGACGTGTGCCGCTGGAACAGAATCGGAAGGTGACCACTGGGCTTACACCACTGGAACTTGGTCTGAAGGCAGCCGTATTGCTTGTGCTGCTGGAGCAGGGTTGGAGAGCAGCCGCAGGATTTGCACTTCCGGAGCAGAGTTCAAGGGCGGCTGTAAAAGGTGCATCACCAGAGCGAGGTTGGAGGGTGGCCATAACACGTGTACCACCGGTCCAGGGTCTGGGCCTGGCACTCCAGAGGCGCCGGGACATGAGCCTGCAGCTGCCGAAGAGCTAGCATGGGGGCCCGCAGCTGCCGACGTGCCCGCATGGCTTCATTAGCCTGATGCCATTGACGTTGGGGAACATAAGAGGGACAAGTGGCCAGGAGTACAGGTACTTGAAGGCTTAGTTTCGCCCTCTAATTTTTTTTAACGAAACAGCCTTGGTTGAGCATTTCACCAAGCTCTACCAAAAGTTGGAGGCACATGTAACGGCCTTCAACCTTCAAAAATATCTCTGGAGCCCTATTTTAAACTCAAAAGGAGTTGGCTATTTTAAATTTCCTTTCAAATATGGCCTAATTATTGGCCTTTTATAGAGGTAATATTTTAGCAAAATAGCTTTTTATCTGATGTACTTAATTTTCAAAAAGTTCTAAAGCCAATCCCATTACCTCAACGTGCCAGTACCCCAACATTACCAGTGCTGCGAGGGCCCTTTTTGTTCAACTCAACG